AATGTAAATTAATTCAATAATAATATTTATTTAAAATTGACATTAATTGTTTCCTTTTCAGAATGAGGGGGGTTATATCGACTTACGCAATAATATTTTGGGGTAATGGTTAAAAAAGTTCCCCGACCCCTGGACTATATATTATTTTATTTTTTTGCGTTATATAAGACGTTATCCCTATAAAAATGTGCTTTAGAAAATCATATTGAAGTATCTATAATATAGAAGTTAAATACAACATTACTATTTTTTTAAATAAAGAGATTTATATCAATTTATTTATTGATATATATCTCTTTCGGCGCTACCTCTGGTGTCTGTACCACAAATTATGTTGGTTTTTGGGAATCGAACCAACGACCTTTCGTATCAGATTTTCGTGATACAGGCGACCAATCATTTCTATTAATATGAAGCAAACATTCAAATTCAAAAATAACTTTATTTACATACATAATTATTGATCCTTTTACAATTTGCAAGGGCACAAACATTTATCTTATTACAAATCTCTCTTCTTTTAGGTTTGCATCGGAGATTTCTATATTATTTCTATATTAGAAGGAAAATTTGCGTGCGAAAAACCGTTTATTTTATCTAAAATGCATTAAGAAATATATTACACCACTAGGGCCTTATCAATTGTTTATGTAGGAGAGGAGTGATGGTGTTGGATTGGATAGGGGTTTTAATATGAAGCATTTTGGTACTCTTCTAAATAGTATAATGCGAATCGGTGGCAATCGCAAGCCCAATAACCGAAATCCCGACGTTCGAAATCCCCACTGTATCGAAATCCCGCCGTTCGAAATCCCGACGTTCGAAATCCCGACTGTATCAAAATCCCGACAGTGTCTTTTATTATTATAAATTTCTACAATAACATTTTTATGGTAGTCGGGTTTTTGATTGTCGGGATTATGGTAGTCGGGATATTAATACAGTCGGGATTTTGAACGTCGGGATTTCAATAGACGGTCTTTCGGTTGTCGGGCTTGCGATATAGACCCAATGCGAATATTCAAACTTTTGATGTATTATTTTTAAAATTCCATGTATGTTTAGTTACATAACTCAAATATTAGTAGTTCATATAATTTATTATATTTGTTTAGACTACGGTAGAGTATCTGTTGTCCATTTGTTGTAGTTTATAAAAACAACAAATTTGAATTTTGATTTTTATAAAGAAACATTAGGTTCTTTTTTTATTTAAAAATTTTAAAGAGAATATTTCAAATGTTCTTGAATTATTTATTATCCAATCAACTTTATGTTAACAAATATTACTTTTTAGTTGTAAAGTCTTATGATCTATAGTACTTTGCATTAGTTATGAATAATTAGAATTATCCTTGTGTTGAAATATTTATTTTTTCTTGTTTTCTGTACAATTATTGCATTTTTATTTCGTGATAAGTTCTGATTATTTCTTTTGATAATTATTATAATACATAGGTTTAATATGAAATAAAAATAGAAATCTAATTAAAATAGTATATTTTCTTATATTGTTAGTTATATGAGATTTTTTACATTGTTTTTAGGAGTATGTTAATTTATAATTATTTGATTATGCCGTTACGTTCCAAGGCACGAAGCTACCGGGTTTGGGTACGTCGAGCTGAAAAAAATGAATGAGATCAGAAGAGGTAAATCTCTTGTACAAATGTGCTATACCTTCGCTGTGATTTGGTCCTGGCATCCCATTCTAATCTTTGCAGCTGTCGCAGGTGCGTCCAACTTGAAGGGTCCCTCAAGACCGGCGTCGATCCTTGCAGATTTTACCGCTTCCCGAATGGCGAAAAGGGCCGAACATGCGAGAAACAGGGGTGGTTCTCCTACAGCCTTCGAAGAATACACGGCCCTGGGATTCGATGCTCCTTTCAGCAAAGATACGTTGAATTCGGAAGGAATATCTCCGAAACCGGGGATCTTGTAGGCGCCCGGACCTCTCGTGAATATCGTTCCAGTTGGAGAGTACATCATCTCCTCCATGACGAATAATCCGTAACCCTGCATGAATCCACCCTCGATTTGTCCAACATCAATTGCAGGATTTAAACTATCACCTAGAATTAATTTAATATAATATATAATTAATACATAGATGAAACATATCTAGTTGCTTCAAAAGCAACATGGTCATGTTTCAACATTGTTATGGTAACAAAATACATACATTCAAGTTGTCAACTATAACAATTGTAACTACTTGGTTACTATTGACGATATTTACCTAAGTCCATGACAATGTCAGTTCTTAAGACCTGATGATCTCCAGTCAAGCAATCCACTTCGACTTCCGTAATGGATACTCCGCAAGTATAATAATTGAAGGCGTTTCCGGAATTCGTTTCCCAGCTGTAACCAAGACCAGGAGTCTTGTAGAAACCCGTCGCTGATAAGCTGATCCTTTCGAAGTACGCAGCGTTGATCCACTCCTCCCACGTCCCATTGGGATTATTCGACTTAATCACCTTCAATCTTTCATTGATGGTATTGCAAGCGTCCTGCAAAAAGGGTGGTAAATTCGCGAAGATATTGTATTTTTAATCAAGATTACCAGAATAGCCATTCCATTCAGATCCGAGCTGGCGCTGGCTGCGGTAGGAGAAGTATTAGGTACTTTATCTGTGGCCGTTTCGACGATGTGGATCATCGAGATGGGAATACCAAGAGCTTTACTCGCAACCTGGATCATCTTTGTATGCAACCCTTGTCCCATCTCCGTTCCTCCGTGGCTGATCAAGACAGAGCCATCCCGGTAGATCAACACCAAAGCTCCACCTTGGTTCAGGAATGGAAGAGTGAAGGCTATTCCAAATTTGGTGGGTACGACTGATATACCACGTTTCTTCCACCGGTTTTCCCTGAAACCAAAGTTCAGTCACCTAACTCTCACAAAAATCTATAAGTTTTGCATACTTATTGTACTCATCTATGATCCGTTTTCTTCTGGCGTAATCCGAGCTCTGTATACATTCATCCCAACACCTGCTCAACGTGCAATTGGTCAAGGTTTGTCTGGACGGCGTAACATCGTTCTCAGCATACAAATTCAATCTACCCACTTCTACAACATCCTTCATTAGATACTCAGCAACCTCTCTGAGGATGGTTTCAGCGACGAACATCGCCTGCGGTCCTCCGAAACCCCTGAAGGCAGTGTTCGACGGTAAATTCGTCTTGCACACGTAACCAACAGCTCTGGCATTCGGGATTTTGTAAGAGTTTTCGAAGTGCAACAGAGCACGTTCCATCACCTATCAAAAATATGCAAATGAAAGAGTTAAATCATGTTAATTACCGGTAATATCAAAACTACTTCAAATTTCAATGTTATCAAAGATTTTATAATATCTACATTCAAGATGAGTGCCTGAAATTATTCGATAAGATTATCAAAAATTACAATTAGATTTTTTTTTGTAATTTCTCTCAATTTGTGAGGTCAGCGAAATTCCTTTCCTTCTTTTTCGATAAAACCTGTCATTTAGATGATAAGAAACTTTTATTGAAACTTCAGGAACTAATGCCAATTGACCTAAAAGTTTAATAAATAGATTCTAATCTAATTGATAAGTAGAAATGAACTAGTTCGGACCAATTCAAAATATACAAAAGTAGTAATCTTATTTAGACAATGAAATGATTGACAATGAATACTTACAGCTATTGATAGATCTCTAGAGTATCCTGCGTTGTTGTAGATGTCCATGTCGCATCCAAGTAATCTTCCATCATCGTCGAAACCGACTTTGTACTTGAAGAGGAATGGATGTCTTCCGCCTGAGATCATCATGTCTTCATCACGATCCAACATAATTCTTACTGGTCGATTGTAAATGGAAGCGGCGACAGCTGCTGGGACTGCAATCATGGCAGCCCTCGATTCTTTCCCTCCGAAACCACCACCTAACCGTTTCACTTTTGTTACTATTCTGTTTTGATGAACGCCCAGAATTCGAGCAACCTCCGTCTACAAAAATAAGAAAGCTATGGTAGTCATGGAGATTATGTAATTAATGACAGAGTAAAATTGTCATCTCAAGCTTTATGTTAATTGTTAATTAATCGTGTCTCTCACCGTAACTTCAGAAGGATTCTGAGTGGAGCAGTAAATCTCGAATTCATCGTCCTCTTTCTTCGGAACAGCAACAGTGCATTGCGTTTCCAAGTAGAAATGCTCCTGGTAACCGATCCTGCAATCACCTTCGATGATGTGAGGAGCGTTCCTTAAAGCCTCGTCGACGTCGCCATTGGCAACCTTACGATCGACTCCCGAGAAAAACGATTTATGTTTGATGGCATCTTCGATGGTAACGATAATTGGATCCAATTCTTTATACTCCACTTTAACTTTCCTTGCAGCTCTTTGCGCCGTTGTCTGATCTTCCGCAACAATAGCACCGATGAACTGTCCTTGACTGGTCACGGTTTTGCTAATGAATATCTCCTCATCGTGCATCACCGGACCTACCTGGTTGTATTTCAAATCTTTAGCTGAAATGAAGCCGGCGACACCAGTCATAGCTAGAGCTTCGCTAGGATCGATGCTGAGGACGTTAGCGTGCGCTTTCGTGCTGTAAACGAAGGCCAAGTAGAGTTCGTTCTCAAAGTAAGGGATGTCGTCGCAGTAAATAGCTTCACCGGCGGCTTGCTTGTAGGCGGAAAGGTGAGGAATTGGTCTTCCAACAGTGTCCGTCTTCTGCTGCGTCTCTGGAACCACTTGGAAATATTGGGAACTTTTTGGGACGGTATAATGGAAACCTTGCAAAGCGCTCAAGTCTCTTCGATCTACAACCGCCCCATACAAATCTTGAGTTATCCTCAAATAACTACGGAAGAAGAAGCTCAGAGGAAGAGCTCTACGGTATTGAATCATACCACCTGGAGCGGATGGCGGCAGCGGTAAGTCTTCCATCAGGAATCCGTAAGCTTTCTCCAAAGTCTCCTCATTCCAAGGAAGACCTCTCAAGTGTTTACTAGTCTTCAAAGCTAAAACCGTAGTTGGAGCCATCCCACCGAAAGCCAAATCGATGTTCTCAATTAGTTGGTTATCATCAAAAGAAACATTAATAGCTGAGTTAACAATAGCTATATCATCATCTCTTCTCCTAGCTTGTTTGTACGCGTAAAAAAATTGAGACGGTTTAGTGAATGGTATGTTTATTGACACGAGGATTTCGGTTGGATCAACTATGTTTCTTCTGTAACCGGTGAAGAAATGCTCATCCATCTTCACCGTCCGTTTACTACTTTTGCTTTGCAAATTCAAACCGATTTTGGCTGCCATAAAGATTGGGTTTAAATCCGATATGGGACTTCCAGTCATGATGTTACCACCGATTGCGGCGACGCTTCGAATTTGCTTACCAGCAAACCAATGGAGCATCTCAACGATTGCTTGAAAGATGCGCGTTTTGTGCTTAACCTCATGTCTTATCAGTTGCCTTAAATTAATTTCCATTTGTTGCAGCGTCAACGAAGCTCCTAAGGTGACTCCTTCAGATGTTACTTCAAAGTCAACCATTTCGGGTATTGAAGTTGGATTGATCAACGTTGGATAAAAGAAGTGCTTGAATTTAACTTCGACTCCGACCTCGGTGTTTCCAACGATGATTTTCGCGTCTGGATGAGAGTGTTTAAGCTCCAGAAGATCCTTAATATGCGTCGGACGGAACCAGATGACGTTTTCGTTCTTGAAGTAAAGGGTTTGCAAGTCGAGCGCGTTGGATTCCTTCAATTCCGGTGGAAAAATCGGCTCCTGGCTTGGATCCATCGGAGTGAATTCTGAAGTTTCAAAAAGGACTTCTTCCGGATCCTTCTGCTTCTTCTTCTTGCAGCATTCCTCGCCCATGGGACATCCATTACCATTGGTCATCTGCCCATTCTGCTGCATCAGTTCCCAATCTTCCGTGAAGGTTTTGTAGCCTTCAATGATAGGTCTGTAACCTGTACATCTGCACAGATTACCTTGGAAGGCAACCTCGAGATCTTTCATTGAAGGTTTCGGCATGTTTCTGAGTAAAGTGTACATGGACATGACGATGCCCGGAGTGCAGAATCCGCATTGGGAACCGTGAGCTTTGGCTATCCTCTCTTGCACCGGATGAAGACGTTTCTTCGTCGAACCTATACCTTCTACAGTAGTAACAGCCAGTCCATGCATGGAACATACTGGTGCCAAACAGGCGTTAACCGGTAAATGGCTGCAAGCAGAAATCTAAAACGTTAGTGTTTCTTTTACTTCTTTCACAATCTTCGCACATTTACTTGACTTTCCGATTTTCTCTGTCGTACTTGGAGACCATCACCGTGCAGGCACCGCAACCTCCTTCCCCGCAACCTAACTTCGTCCCACATAATCGAACTAATACAATCGTTTAGGAAAAAAAACAAACTTATCTGAAGGTACTTGGCAAATAGTAATAGTTTTTAACCCAAATGATTTCAAACTTGCAACAATAATGTAAAATCATGAAAAATCGCTGTATACTAATAATTTGGTTTGTTACACCTTTATACAACTTCAATTAGAAATGTTTTAAGGGTAGTTTTTACTCAATTTCTTAGTTTTAAGCAAATTTTCGGAGACTTTTATTTTCGCTTAAGTTTATATGTCGGCTCAATGGTCTAGGGGTATGATTCTCGCTTTGGGTGCGAGAGGTCCCGGGTTCAAATCCCGGTTGAGCCCAAGTTTTTTTTTGTTAATATCCTTACAAAATTAATTTATTGTATCATTAAGGTACAATTATTACCTATTTCAACAAAGATCATTGAAACATTCAATTATTAACTTTTAGCACGCACGTTTTTGTAATTTAAATAATCGTTATAATCCTTAACATTAGAAAATTGCAGCAAGCAAATATTGTGTAAATACAAAGCAAACATAAATTTTACATGCACTTTGCATCTGAATTGCAGTTCAAAAATTAGCTACGTCTGTTTGTGCTCGTTGCAAATCGCACAGTGATTTGACAAATTTCACAGTAAGAACATAAATAATTGCCACGTGTGCATGTTAAATTTTGATAACAGTGGATAATTTAGGAGTTTTCTAACTGTTCTTTTTGAAAATACACAAGTAATCTTATTACGTTGTATTTGTTATGTCATAAATAAATTGGATGCAACACTTTGCTTACATAAGACTTATTGCATTGTTTAAAAGGATACGCTTTTTACGTAAGTATTCGAGCAGCGTCCATTCTGGATTCACCTGATTGTCCGAAACCTGAAAAAAAATACAAATTATCAACGGAATCTTATTTTTAGATTGATTTACAAATATTTATAGATTAATATAATTGTGATTGAAATTGTATTAAAAATAGTTATAATCTACAAGTATTTTCTTTGTTTAAATTTGATTTAATCACAAATTAATCTAATACGTATAATATATACACTAACAAAAATCTGGCAATTCTGAAAAAGTGACAAGTTTTTACTTGTCACTTTTGTTGCAAAATTGAAACAAAATTTGTATAACCAAATTTTCAATTTATCCATGGTTTCAATAAACTGTCTACTACTAATTTACTTGTCACTTTTGTTGCAAAATTGAAACAAAATTTTCATATGCAAATTTTCAAGTTATCCATGGTTTCAACTTATCAAAGTGTCTTTTTACAAGTAGTGTTCTTATTCAAACTTGTTTTAATCACAAACTAATCTAATACGAATAATATATACAAAAAAGATAAAATTTTCACTTGTTACTTTTGTTGCAAAATTGAAACAAAATTTTCATATGGTAATTTTCAAGTTTTCCATGGTTTCATTTATCAATGTGTCTTTCCAATACGAAATAAACTATGTCTAATACTAATCTACAAGTAGTTTCCTTATTTAAATTTGATTTAATCACATATTAATCTAGTAGAATATTATATACAATTTTTTTTATATTAAATTGTCACTTGTCACTTTTGTTGCAAAATTGAAACAAAGTTTTAATATGCAAATTTTCAAGTTATCCATTGTTTCAATTTATCAAAGTGTCTTTTTACAAGTAGTTTCCTTATTCAAACTTATTTTAATCACAAACTAATCTAATACAAATAATATATACAAAAAAAGATAAAATTTTCACTTGTCACTTTTGTTGCAAAATTGAAACAAAGTTTTCATATGCTAATTTTCAAGTTATCCATGGTTTCGATTTATCAATGTGACTTTTCAATACGAAATAAACTATGTCTAATACTAATATACAAGTAGTTTCCTTATTTAAACTTGATTTAATCACAAACTAATCTAATACAATACGAAAAAAACATAAAATTGTCACTTGTCACTTTTGTTGCAAAATTGAAACAAAATTTTGATATGGTAATTTTCAAGTTAACCATGGTTTCAATCAATTAATCTTTCCTATGCGAAATAAACTTTTGTCGTTTGGGTTTAAAAAAGTTTATAATAATAGTTGGTACTCTTGGGGTGCTTTTTCAAGACAACGTAGATACTTTGATAGGTTGACTAAGACTATGCTCATCTTAGGTTTTTATGAGACTATGCTCGTCATATTAAGGTTTTACTGAAACTATGCTCGTCTTTAGGTTTTTATGAGATTATGCTTGTCCTCGAAGGTTCTGCTGAGACTTTATTAGTCTTTAAAGGTTTTACTGAGACTCTATCTAAATACTTATTACTTACAAAGTTAATTCTTTTTAATACGAGGTGGGAGTAGGGCTTGTATATATTCATGATTAAGCGTTAACAGGGGATTCTGCCTTGGTGGATTTGTTTATTATAAGACCGGGACAAAATCCTATGCATTTGTTTATATGAAAAAGATGATTGATTACGATTGTACGTGTAACAATCATTATGTGTTTATAATAAGTACTTGAATTCGGAGTAAAGGTATAGGAGTATTGATAGGAATGTTTACGCTTGGTCCCCTTTGTTTACATTAAAGTGTATCGAACTGGGATCACGGTAGAGGTTCTATTATGCTGATTTATATGTTTATATAATAATGCGACTAAGAGTCGCCTTGGATGTCTGTAGTTCATTAATACACTATATTAACAATAACAATTACAATAATAATGGTTGGACACAACACTATGTCTACTACTAATCTACAAGTATTTTCCTTATTTAATTACTAAAACTTGATTTAATCACAAACTAATCTGATACGAACAATATATACAAAAAAATAAGATAAAATTTTCACTTGTCAAGTTATCTATGGTTTCGATTTAACAATGTCTGTTTCCAATAAGAAATAAGCTATGTCTACTATTAATTTACAAGTATTTCCTTTTTTAAACTTGATTTAATCACAAACTAATCTAATACGAACAATATATACAAAAAAAAGATAAAATTGTCTCTTGACACGTTTGTTTCAAAATTAAAACAAAATTTTCATATGCTAATTTTCAAGTTACCATGGTTTCAATTTATCAATGTCTGTTTCCAATACGAAATAAACTATGTCTACTACTAATCTAATGGAATATTTTATACATTTTTTTTTTGTTATATAATATTTTCACTTGTCACTTTTGTTTCAAAATTGAAACAAAATTTTCATATGGTAATTTTCAAGTTATCCATGGTTTCAATTTCTCAATGTCTGTTTCCAATACGAAATAAACTATGTCTACTACTAATTTACAAGTATTTCCTTATTTAAACTTGATTTAATCAAAAACTAATCTAATACAAACAATATATGCAAAAAAAAATCAGTAAAAAGTTCACTTGTCTCAATTGTTACAAAATTAAAACAAAAATTTTATTTACAAATTTTCAAGTTATCCATGGTTTCAATTTATCAATGCGTCCTTCCAATATTTAATAAACTATGTCAATTATTTTTTCTCAAATATTCTAAACAACCTTTCTAAACTTGTTTTCTAGAGATTGCTCAATCAACTCCACAATTTAAATAAATTAATAGTGTATTGCGTAGTAATAAATCAAGTATATAAAAAGTAAACATTAACGTATCAAAAAGTAAACATTCTTTATAGTAACAAAAAATACAAGTTAAGAAAATTAATGTTTCTTTACTTTTTATACAAGAAATAATCAAAAAATTTCAAGCGTGAATTAGCATTTAAGTTTGAAAAGTTAAGCAATGTTTATAACTGTTATAATTTGGAAAGGTGATTAGGATGAACAGGACGATTATTTATGAATGATACAACAACAATTCTTTTTCTGAAATATATTATTAATCTAGTGAAAGTAAATTTATAAAGGTTTATTTTTATGAATTCAATTTACTAAACAAATTACAATACATATCATAAATATTCAATTCATTTCTAGAAAAGTGAATGGGACAAAAATATTATTACTTTTTATTCGAAGCAATAAAATTAATGCATCTTTATTATTTTATTTCAATCTTTGAATATTTGCAAGATTTCAAATTTTTGTAATTGTAAATATTTAAAGAGTTGAGAAATCATTTTTTGTAATCATGTTTATATGAATAAATTCAATGTCAGCGTTTTTTTTTTAAATTAATTTACATAAATGTAATTCATACACGAGTTAATAAATAGATAGAAAAGTTTATTTATCAGTTCGTTAGTAAATTGTGTACCTTTTTTCCGTTGACGAAGAAGACGAGCGTCGATTCCTCCGTTGGAATCATCTTCTATATTTCACAATTTTGTTGGATAATCTTCTTGAAACTTTGTAACGATGATGACTTTATATTTATGACACTTTTTTTTTGTTGTTGTTGTTGGATATGAATTGGTGGAGGTGGAGGACGTAAATCCTCAACGGAAACCGAAGCGAAACTGAACTGAATCGAACTTGCAACATACTACAAAACTCGAACGCAACACGAATCAGTTATCTCGGTTGACCTTTGCAGCTTGCATGTCCTCAGTGCAATTACCCCATTCCGCAAGAAGTATAATGTGATAACTGACGCACATAAAAGTGTCATTATTTAGAAAAAATAATATCAATGCCACAAATGCGCACATTTTCTGTAAAAATCTGAAAAAATCATATTTGATCATTTGTTTTACATAAGGAAGAGTCTACAATTGCGTATCTTCTAATTCAAGTACTGTTACGTTAGTTTCTGACCGTAACATATCAATTCTCTTAATTTAATTGCGTGTCTTTAACTTTTTATTTAATTACTCGATAACGATGCAGGATAATTATATCATCGAATACTCAAATTAAAGATGAAAGTCTCGTCTTTCCAACAAGCCAATTGGCAAGTTTGTGCTATCATCCGTTTATCTTCTACAAGCTGTCCATTAGGATGGACACGGATGCGAATTACATAATTGTACAACAATCTTAAACTGGAAACTGCTACTGAAATTTTCTCAATTTTTAGCGAAAATTTATTAAAAACTTTAAAAATTTTATAGAGATAACTCAAAAAGTTTATATTTTTTACTTAATATCTTGAATGTTATGTAACTTGTTTTCAGATTTTATTATCGTATTTTAATTGATGAAAGTTTCTGAAAATTACTGAAATTTCCTAAATTTTTTGCGAAAATTTATTAAAAACACAATTTGATAAAGATTTTAGTACTTTTTCCTTAATAAATCAAAAAGTTTATATTTTTTCTCAAAATCTCGAAAGTTATGTAACTTTTTTTCAGATTTTATTATCGCTTAAGAAAAGGCTTCTTAAGAACAAATAAATATGTGTATAAATACAGGAATTCCATTCTCAATGACCTGTAATCTGTAAATCAAGATAACTTATACTTTTTTATCTCGACAAATATTGAATGAAACATAGATAATGTGTAATTTTATTGAATTCTAACATAGAAAATGACCTGTATATTATACAATTGAAATGTATAGAAATGTTCTTAAAAGAAACGTTTAAATTCGGAAGGCAATGTAATCTACATCTAATCGAATTCAAATGCTTGTGTTCACAAATTTATTTAATTTTGCAGATACGAAAATTTCTTATCAAAAGCAAACATTGTGAATCGATAATTTCCTCGAAATTCGTGTATTTGCACATTACAACAATGACCGCAAATTTGGTAAATAAAGTTTAAATATATCAGAGAAATTAAAACTTTAAATTATTCTAATTATAAATTTTACAGTCAGTTTGCAAATCAAGATCATAAATCCATGATTTTGATAAAAAAATATAGTCAGTTTCTATTTGTATACTTGATAATTTGGTATTATTAGATTTTATAACAATTCAAATAGTAATAATTTTGTATTTATAAATTAAAAAAATATTTATTCAAATCACAATTAGATATTTTTATGAAATTAAATGTCTCAATTATCAAAGTCGTACGTTTTTGTTTCGTTTTAATCACAAAAATTGCAATCAAAATGTTTCAGGTTCATTAAAATTATAACACGTTTCTAAATAAAACAGTAATGTTTATTATTTAAATTGAATCTTGCTTATTAGACAAATAATCGCTGTGATAAGTACAAATAAACAAAAGTGTTAAATATAAGTGATTATATAAGTATATCATAAATTTGACAGTAAATCATTTGAACTTCTCAAAGCGTTTTATATAGGTTAATTATACTGCATCACGAAAATCTTATACGAAAGGTCGTTGGTTCAAGTTCCAAAAACCAACAAAAAAAATTGTTGGGGCCGATAAACCCGAAAAGGGGTAGAAATAGGGTCAAAGTGATTTATATCAATAATTGATATAAATCTCTTTATATTTATAAAAAAGATAAAAAACAAAGTGAATTATATATATAAATATAATAATTTTCATTCATAATAATAGAAATATTGACTGATTTTGTCATTAACTGAAAATTTTGAATTAACGTCATAATAAAAAAAAACAATTGCAAATTACTATGGTAATCAAATAACTATATATAAGTTGCTACATATGACATAAATACTTGTCAAGAGTTATCATCACTTGTCAAATGCATGAATTAGAATACAGTGGAACCTCGCTTAACGAACAAAGTGAATTGTAAGAAAAACGACTCGCTTAACGAGCGACGTTTCGCATAACGAGTGACGATAAGAAGAGAAATCCCGGATTGCGCGCCTGCTACAACATTTTCAAAACTTTTGTACACATAATATGTGTATTTTTGAATATGTTTCACTGTAAGAGTAAAAATCCGAAAATTTTGTAACGGATTAAACTCGTTCCACTGTATACAAAATTATTTTGGGATAATAAAAACTAGAAAGGAAAAGATTGAATTTAATACTATACAATTTATTTGCTATGTTCTGTACAATTTTTTTTTCAATCATTAGAAGACACAAGTAGAAAAAAAAACATATAATCATAACATATGTGTGGGAAGAAAGAAAAGTAAAAACGAAAAATTAAAAATATATAGGATTCTTTACGGAATACATCACAACGTTCTCATTTTCTTTACTTTTGCTGTTTACCTCGAATTATTATGCACGTATATATATACATTTTTAGCGCTTAAATCTTTAGTTCAATTTTCTGTTGGCAACGATCAAACGAAACTAGTATCACATACAAGTTTCAACCGAAACAAAAAAAAAATAATAAAGAAGACAAATTATAAGAGAATTGGTAAATCTAAATATCTACTATTTACACAACGGAATACTCTTAAAACAAGGAAGATAACGGAACGAGAACAACAAAAAACAAAAAAAAATGCATTTAAAATCATTATAATTATTTTTTTTCGCTTGCTTCTGATTATTTCCATTTTCTTTATATATAAAAATAAAATGAAAGGGAGGTCGCGTCGCTCCCTTATATTCTTTTCTTTTGTTTTTTATTTCAGGCCCATTCTTCTTTGCAAATAAGAGCTTCTTGAGGTTTTTCGCATTTTTCTTGTTCGCAAATATATTCGCAAATACATTTGACTAGGATTTGATTACTTTCTTTATCTATATTTGTATCATCGTCGTTTTCATTTCTCTCTGAAATATATTATCCGGGAATTGTTATGGATCTGTTGTAGTGGAGGCAGCACGAGACGTGACGCTAAACTTTTGAATGGTTTCTATTGATGTTTTCTAAGGACTCGTTGGAGTTGGCCGAGTTTCCTGAACTTATTCCACCTGAAATTTAACATTAAGAATAACATATTAATACTGTATTAAATAACTGCAAACCATACATATCTGCATCTATGGATGCATAAGTTTAACAAGTTGAAGGATGGTGAAAGAAAAATGTAAATAGTATAGTGTTTTGAAAATTACATTACCTTTGTGGTTTCTAAAGCTATTCCTATTGCCAGTTTTCTTGTAGTCTCGTCTATCCCTTTCGTCTCTGCCGTTGTAAGGGCTGTAGCTCCGATGTGGCGGACTGTAGTAGCTGTCTGGTGGTGATGGGGTGTGCCTATCGTAAGGAGAGTAGGCTCTGGAATCCGGGGAATATCGGCTATTGATTGGTGGAGAAGACATTCTGCCTAGAGGAGGTGGGCGATGGTCGCCAGGGAACATGTTTGGAGGAGGTGGCATGAAAGGAGGAACGCCTGGCATTGGTGGAAATGGTACACCGGGTGGGGGTGGCAGGAAATGGGGCATCCCGGGTAGAGGAGGCGACGTGGTCAGATCCCTTCCACCGAAGAGCAGCGGCGGCGAAGCAGGAGCCTCCATGTGAATCGGCGACAATGTGTGATCTCCATTCATTTCCAACGGACCTAAACCTAACGGAAACACATTTATCAATATTGCATATGTATTTTCTAGGTTGAATTTAATTGTTCAACTTTGACATTTTCTTTCAGGAAAATGGTGTAGATTTTACGTTAAAAGTAGGCTCATTGGAAAAGCCATAATTTTATCTTTAATGTTCATAGTTGGCGTACGTATTTATCGAATAATTAAAATGTATAGACGTAAAAACGCTCGGTCACTAAACATTAAATAACAGTAGTTATGCATAAATAACTTCAAAATAATAAAACTCTTACGGTTTTGCGATTTGTCCTCATTGTTCAAATTCCGTTCACGCAACGTTAGCCTATTCCTCAGTTGCGCCGCTTCCTGCTTGGCCTCCTCCAGCTTCCTTTCCGCTTGACGTGCAGAAACCCAGCTCTCGTGCGCCTTCTTCTCCAACACCGAAATCTGGCTCTTCAAGTCTACCTCCTGTGACACGATTTCTTGCTGCAAAGTACCATTCTGCGCTCTGAAAACAACATCATATTATTCACAAAAACTACTGGATCTGTAGATATAAAAGTCTTAATAAATTACTTGTAATTTTGCAATTCCTCCTGCATAAATTTAATTCGTTCGCTCGTTGATACGGCCTCGCCCTGCTTCTCTGACCATCTCGACTCGTGTTTGTTCAATTCCCTGAAAAAAGAAAATAACAAATTGTTTTAAATGATATTAAAAATATATATATTTGTTTTGCATACTTTTGCATTTCCGCTTCCTTTTCCTTGAAGTAGTTGCCCAGAACTTCCAGTTTGGTGAGAGCCTCCAGTTTCTCTTTATCCGCTTCCTCGTACTTCTCCTTGTAGCATTGCCTCTCCTTCATCGAGTTATCCATTTGTTTCTCGTAGCTGCTGATTGCCTCCTGATTCCTCTGCAGATGCTCGCTCAAAAGCTGCTTCTCTTTCTGTAACTGTTTCATCTCCGCCTTTAAAGCGTTCAAATCGAGCGTCGATTTGGAATCGTCGCCGGACTTGAGCGACTTCTTTAACAGATCGAATTCGCTAGTCTTCAGCTCCAGATTGCGCCTGGTCTCTTCCAAGCTCTTCTGAAGCTTCGCTATTTCTGCATTCAGGTAACCGGTCTTCGCGGTGTGACTCTCCCTGAGCTTATCGCCAATTTCCTTCAATTCAACGATCTCCGCCTCGTACTTGCTTTGGCTCTGTTCCTTTTCTTCCTCGATCTTCAGCAAATTCAATACCATTTTATCCAGCTCCGCCTGCAGATCCATCACCTTCTTGTTGTTGATCTCCAGCTCCAGCTGAAGCTCGTGATTCTCGGTGTCCTTCTCGTTCAAATTTGCGTTTATCGTGTTGATGGTCATCTGTTGCTCCACCAGTTGCTTCTGCAACTGCTCGATGTTGTCCAACAGCGTTTCGCTCTTGTTCTGTGATCCCAACACCTCGGTGATCATCTTGTTAAGCTCTAATCCCAATTCCGTCGAGTTCTCCAATTCCTTCTCCAGACATGCCACCTGCTCCTCCAACGAATTCTTGTTGGCACAGATTTCCTCTAGTTTTCCTTCGAGTTCCGTTATTACAGCGTTGTAGCTAGCGTTCAGCTGCTCCTGGTTTTCGCTGCTGATGCCATCGGCCACTTTATCGGTGAGCAGTTGGTTCTCTGCTTTGGTCACCTGCAACGCCTTCTCCAAGTTGTTAACCTTCGCGACGAGCGGCGCTTCCTTGTTCATATTGGTTATAACCATGTAACCCCAGAGGAAGATAACAGTTATCAATCCGGACACGGTGATGGTGATGATCAGATCGCCGATGCGAGCCCAATCGAAGAAACTGGATTCCTCTTTAGCGGGTTTCTCGTCCACGTTGCAATGCGTAAGCAATGGATTGGCGTTGCAGGATCCCTGCACCTCCTCTTCAACACTCTCCTCATTTACAGGAGATTTCACATTCGTAGATTCTGCAATCTCTTCAACACTGTTAATGTTTTCGCTTTCCTCCCTTTCCAATAATTCCTCGCTGGTTTCCTCTTCTTCAATTGGATCCAATTCCATTATAGGTTTATCAACAATTTCCTCCTGCTGATAATCTTCAGCAGTTTTGATTTCCTCTTGTTTAACTTCATCCACAATAGGTTTGATCTCCTCAGGTTTAGGAGAGCTGAAAAACCAGGAATTATCTTCAATCTGCGCAGCTTCGTAACTGTTATTGTTATCATCCGGTTCTTCTATTTTCGGCAATTCACTTTCTTTAGAATCAACATTTTCAACTACATCGGAATCCTTGACTTCACCGTAATTGGAACTCGCTTCCTTCAAATAATTCCATCCAGAGTTCAGCATGTTCATTGTTAAAGACGGAGCATCCTCTTCCACCGCAACATCTTCCGATGCAGGTAACTTTTCCTCTAACGACGCTGTAACATCATCTTCTGCCACAAGATTCACTTTTAAGTCATCAGATAAAGCAAGTACGTTTTCAGTCAATACTTCATCCACTTCGCCTTCAACCTTAACATCTTCTTCCACTGGTAAGTTCATCTTAAAATAATCACCTGCAGGCTTTTCGAGTAAGACATCTTCCTTAAAATCTACGTTTTCTGCTGACATATCCTTAACATTGTTCTCTTCGGGTAAGTTGACTTGCTCAGCAATAGCTTCAGGCATCGTCAATTTACCGTCATCCTCGGATAACTTATCTTCGTTATCATCAGTTAGAGTTCCATTAAAAGTGTCATCAGTGTTAAGAGCGTTTTCAAATTTAATTTCTTCCACTGGTTTTTCGGTGATGTACTCGACTTTCGAATCTTCCAAATTATCTAAAGGCTTATCGGTGATATATTTAAAATCAAAATCTTCAGGTTTCACTTCAACTTCATCAGGTTTGATTTCTACCGTCGGTTTCTCTTCCAGCAAGAAGTCTTCAGCCGGTTTCTCTTCAATCTTAAAATCTTCGACTGGTTTCTCTTCAATCTTGAAGTCTTCGACTGGTTTCTCTTCAATCTTGAAGTCTTCCAATGGTTTCTCTTCAATCTTAATATCTTCGACTGGTTCCTCTTCAATCTTGATGTCTTCCAATGGTTTCTCTTCCATCTTAAAATCTTCGACTGGTTTCTCTTCAATCTTGGAATCTTCCAACGGTTTCTCTTCCACCCGAAAATCTTCCAGGAATTTGTCTTCCTCTTTGACGGTTTCAACTTCTGCCTCCGACTTCTTCTCTTCATCCGATTTTTCAATTTGCTCTTGCTGTTCTTGTTCCTTTGGTATCTCGTTGCTCGCTGCTTCCAGAGATTCGGGTGCCTCTGTCGCGGCGTACATCACCGGAATATCCGTCTGGAGTACTTTACTGGATTCCGGCGCAGAATCATAAAAACTTGAAGGCACATTGGTGACAGGCATAGGCATCTGAGTTGCGCTTGGATTGACGGGAATCGTTGTTCCGTCGATGACAATATTCTGGTCGTCGACGACCGTGGACGGCTTCAGCTCTTCGGGGTCGAAAATCACATTTTGAAGGGAAGGCACTTCTTGCGGATCCGCGAACTCGGTGTCCACCAGGAAATGCGGATTCTTTACAATGGTGCGCTGCTCCCTGAGGTGGCCCACCGGTACGTAACCCCGTTTACCATTGTAGCTGGCGCCCCACACTCCCATGTTCTTACCTGCAGATTTGCTGTAGATCTGCAGATCCGCGTTCCTCGGAAACGAGAGCATACCCTTCTCCATTGCGGAATAGTTCAAAATCGATTTAGCCGTCGCTATAATCTCTGAAACAAATAACATATCATTAATCACCACACGAAATACAATCTATTTAAATTTGTTATACCAAACTCAGTATTAACTAGCCCCGAGTATACTACCTTGTGGTACACTTGGTATAATCTACATTCAATAGTCTTTTGCAATGATTTTCGGGTTCATAACACCCTGAACTTTGCTTTTAAAGTAAAATAAAAGCAAATTGCGTTTATTTCGATTCGTTATTGCCCGTTTGTTTGTTTTATACGAGCGTTTGTATAAATAAATGGTAATTGCGTTTGAATACATGCAACATTTCGATCTTATAATTATCCAATTACAAGTACTTTCCGTCGCCATCGTCATTGTCTCATCGCTCGCTCGTCTTTTCCTGGTTTCGCGCAAAGCCTCAAATTATAAACCTATTAATGGCACCTTGCATGCACGTCTTAAATAACTTATGGCACACTTTAAAGCCAAATGGAAAGTGTGCCGGAGCTATACAAAGTAGCCCCATTTTCCAGCCGTGAAATATTCATAGTTTACCTAAACAATTGGAGCACTTAACGAGACAAGATAAAAATGAAAGAAGAAAAAACTCGTTATGCGAAATTTATTATTAATTCGTGCAATATCTTAAAAGATTCTTACAAAAAAATCAAACATTTTTATTGTAAATTAGATAATTAAAGTGCAAAAAGCAATTACATCACTCTTCATTTATTTTATGTAAAAGTTCCAAAAAAAAAGATCAATACAGAAAACAAACTTTACAAATGTTTGTTTATTTTTACTCCGTGATCAAAGATCGCTACGATTGTGGCGCCTTCGAGTTATTTACTTGTTGCCAAGGTGCCAAACAATTGATTATACTTTCTCCAAAACGTGCTACATGCAATTTATGAATGATTCAACACAGAAATACGTTACGTTCAAAAAAAAAATATCGATTTCATATAAAAATTATATAAGAATATTTGTATTAAAATTGAAAAGAAATTATATTCTTAATCTCTTTGTGATATTGAATCATGTGTATATTTAAGAAACAGTACAAATATAACAAAGGACAAAAGTACCAAATCTGGAGTTCAAGAAGCAATTGATAAATTAAATATTTAGGTTTCTAGAAATAATCATGGGAAGGTAAACTAAATCTAATTTTAAAATGGTTTATAGAAAGGAACTGCAATATGGTAATAAGGAATTCAGCTTTGTTAAGCAATTCATGCAATTGTATGTATATTTCCATACAAAACCAGGCCTTTCCTTGTGATTAATACAGCTTAAACATCTATATATAACCATTGAGACCCAATTTTCCCTGATAACTGTGATAGTGAATGCAAATTCAGTCATCAACCAAGAAAAAAAAGGATATCCATCCAAAACATATGAATTATTGGCTGCAAATCTATGATACTTTGGAATGTATTGAAGCACCTGCATTTGTTTATACATTTGGGGCCTCTGACGTTAGGTAAATACGTGCGAATATAGGTTAATTCGATTCACGATTTTGATATCTTATGTTTTTTTTGTTGGGGATTCTCACCTGAACAGTCGGGGTTAGCGCAGAGGCGTTTATCCGAGACGGCCGTGTGCGTTTCGTATGCATTTTGGACGATGAAAAGGGCAAAATAAATTAACTTTAAACTGGTCATTTTGGCATCGCACTTTGACAACCACTTTCACGAAAGCCACATCACTGTTTCGCACCAACTGACATTTGATGACCACATTGTATTTATCTTTACCCTCGCACCATCTCTCGGCAGTCATAGCAATCTTCAATACTTCCAAAGATAATCCAGATGTCTCTATAATCTGGCTTGAAACATTAAAATTTCGTTAACAAATTGTTGTTGAATTAATAGTTAAAGTTTAACATCAATTTAAAACTTATTATTTCTTGCAAAATTATGTAAAATAAAATCATATTATTATATAATATTGTCGATGATAAATATAAAGGTGAGTATACACTGTGTGACAACTGTCAAAGTAAAACCTATTATGCAATAGCATTTGTACTAACTTAACGTTAGTTAAACATCAATACCATACTAGAACTCTTTCGTGTAAATAGTGTTGCATACAAGTAAAATTAATTTCTGAATTTCTACATTTTACTAAATAAATAAAACAATATAAGAGCTCTGTTTGGTAAATATTTGAAAGGAAATCGAACTCAAATCAATTAAATTACAAAATAATCAATTATTTCCAAATATTTTGTACCAATTTGAAGGAAACACTTATGATCAATAGTCTTGCAGTGGATTTACCTTAAGTTTTTTTTTTGCAAATTTCGTTTATAATAATTTCAAATCAACGTATATTATTAGTAAAGTTTTAAATAATTAAAAAATACAAACTGTTATTTTACTTAAATTGTTACAACATACAGTAAACAACAAGACTTTTTATTTAATTAGGTTTATTACATCTTCTAGAAAGCAATAATCGAGGTTTTCTGTTTTTTCGACATTAATTTACTGTTAATTTAAAACTTATTATTTCTTGCAAAATTATGTAAAATAAAATCATATTATTAACTAATATTGTCAATGATTAATATAAAGGTGAGTATACACTGTATGACACCTGTCAAAGTAAAACCTATTATGCAATAGCATTTGTACTAACTTAACGTTAGTTAAACATCAATACCATACTACAACTCTTTCGTGTAAATAGTGTTGCATACAAGTAAAATTAATTTCTGAATTTCTACATTTTACAGAATAAAACAATATAAGAGCTTTTGTTTGGTAAATAGTTGAAATAAAATCTAACTCAAATCAATTAAATTACAAAATAATCAATTATTTCCAAATATTTTGTACCAATTTGAAGGAAACACTTATGATCAATAGTCTTGCAGTGGAATTACCTTAAGTTTTTTTTTTTCTAAATTTCGTTTATAATAATTTCAAATCAACGTATATTATTAGTAAAGTTTTAAATAATTAAAAATTACAAACTGTTATTTTACTTAAATTGTTACAACATACAGTAAATAACAAGACTTTTTATTTAATTAGGTTTATTACATCTTCTAGAAAGCAATAACCGAGGTTTACTGTTTCTTCGACATTAATTTACTGTTAATTGCAAATTATAACATTGAAACGTTACAAGAAATGTAAAATAAAGAAAACACCAATATTTGAGATTCGATTGATTTCAATAAACATACTTTAACGTTAATTTACTTAATAGATAACAAATAGTTAAAACGTATATAAATTTTACTGTTGGCAACAATCTTTTCATCTCATAATTAGATATTTAAAATTATTATTGGTAAATAAATAAAAAATACAGTTGCAGATTTTTACTTCTTGGATATTAACTTTATCCAAGAAGTACGTTTCTTGGAAGACGTCTCGTTGATGGAACGAGTTTTCTGCTTCTTAATCTGATTTGTTTCTTTTTTGCTACAACAAATAAAATAATCATGTTCGTCCTCTTTTTATTATATCATAAATATGGAACAGCTTATCTTTTCCTTTACACGACTGGTTTATGCCACTTTTAATGCTTGATTTTTTTTTATATTGGAATCGTATCTGTATTTGTTAGGAGATTTTCCATAAAAGTGTGTTCATCCACAGCAAAATGTCATTGACTTTTACATTCTTCAGTTTTTCATGATTAAACTTGTAATTGTCTTATGGTAACATATAATTGAATGTATTTTCAAGATGGTTTAAAATGAAATAACAAATATAAATATAAAAAGTTTTATTTATTTTAATAAATAGTGTGTATTATTAAATGTGTATGAAAAAAAAAAATTAAAGACAGAGATTATATTTAAGAATTGCTTCGTGCGAGTTGTGAACTCCATCATCTAATCTTTAAAATTGAAGAAGAAAACAGAAAAAAACTAGACGAACGCTGATGCGAAGTAATTCCTAAATGGCAACGAAAATTCAGCCTCGGATGCATCATCTTTCAGCTATCAAATATATAAATTGTCTTTTAGTTGGTGTCGATTTCATGGTCAATGGGTCCCATTAAAGAGGCGTTCTGGCGAATCCTCGACATCAGGCTTGACGCGAACCTCGCTATCCCCAATCTGCAAATAGTTCAAGAATGTTTACAAAAAAAACTGTTAAGATGTTAAGTTTTTGGTACGCCTTACGGAATTTGCGTGGTCCGCCTTACTTTTCTGCATCTTCCTCTCTTATCCTTGGAGAAGCCTTGCGCGCATTTGTAATGAAGGATCTCGCCTAAAGCCGTGTGCGTCGGGGCTTCTGTACCGATGTCTTCGGCAGGAACTATGGCAACGTTCGTTACAGGATACGTCTTCTTATCGTCCTCCGCGTCGACCTTGACATCCACCTTCATGGTGCTACTAGCTTCCTCTTGCTGCAAGAACACCGGAATCATACCGTTAACCATCGCGGGTTTCGTGGCGTTCTCCGCATTTACGACTTCCAAAACCTTCTCCGTCGTGCTCGGAGACACGATCGGATAGGGATGTTCGTTTCCTTCCGTGGTGACATCCGGTTTAGATGTCGTTGAGCTAACGGTGGGTTTTATGGTGAAGACGGAATCGTCGTAATCGTAAAAACTATCGTCCTGTAAAAAAAATCATTACAATCTTAAACTATAATAAGATTAATGCTTACTTCATCAACGGAATCGTCGCCGAGGATTGTGATGATCTGGAAGTCTTTCAGATGGACGTGGATGTTGTAATCTCCGGTTTGCTTCTGGTCGTAGGTGGCGGAATCCTTTTTCGATCTCGGTGCGGCAGATACCAGAAGGCAGATGGCCAGGAATTGCACGATTCTCAGGTGCATTTCGCTTTCTTCGTTTGCTTCGGTACTTCTTTAGTTGGCAGTTGATGCTGGACTGCTGATGTCTCCGGTAAGGTCAAGAAATGGACACGCAGCACAAGTGGGAGGTTTTTTTCTTCTTCTTCTTCTTCTCTTCCACTGCTTCTTCGGGCTTGTGTATTTATTTTGTAAACTTGATTAAACCGCTACAGGTCTTCGAACCTTATTTCTCTCTCTTCACCTGGAGAGATCATCGCATGCATGCAAAAAAGCCCATCACCCGAGGGCAAACGATCACAAACACACGCGTTCCTCTCGTTCTACAGAGTGTTACCAATACCGTGACCCTCTTTTTCTTATTCAGAATCACCTACTTATGATGATGACTCAAACACAATCTGTAAATATGTATTGATTCCTTGTCTTTTTTTTGCTAACGGAAATTTTTTGAGCAAATTTGAATCGATCCAATACTATGGATATTATTCATATTTTACAACAAAAAAAAACACTACAATTAAAGCCGCAAAGAGATTTCGATAATGATAGAAATTGATATGTATTTATCAAAAAACGCAAAAGAAACTTCTTATTACAGAAAAACAGCATGTACCAGAATTATGAGAGTACGTTTATTAGATACTCATATTTTCATCTTACATCATATTTTCATCTTTAATTAGCACACTCAATGATTTAATTAGTTTTTTTTAGTTAACGAGTAATTAGATAAAACGCGAAAGCTTATAAAAGTATCTAAAAATTGTCAAATCTCCGTTAGTAATTAATATTACGTTATAATTATTATACCAAAATATTCATAATAGAAGAGCACTTTTTATGTAATCATAAAATATTTATAAAGTAACTTAGTTTATATGTATAGTAATTAACAATGTATAAAAAATCACCATTTTTCAGTTAATAATACGAAAATTATCGAAAACAAGTATGTCATAATTACATAAAACGATAAAACAGTTCATTTTTCAATTATTTTAATTTGATCAAGACGATAAGTGTAAGATAACATTGCGATTTATATTAAATTGATTCATCAATTAATTATGGAATTCCTATGAGTTTTTATTAATCACATTTAATTGGACGTTACTATGTAATTGGAAATACTCGTAAAAACTTGGTTTTGGAAAATCCTTAGAAATTGTAGTAGGATTGTGAATAAATGAACACTCTGTATGAATATCCTAGTTTCAAGAAATTACACATAATTGGATTGACCATCGTTTAGCTGTTCTAATTTACTTCACGATCCGGTATTGATTATTTCAGCAATCGAATCGAACTAGATCCTTCGATAAGAGGAGAGTTCAGTAGGTCAAAATTGAGTGAGAGAAATTAAGAATGAGTATACAAAAAAAAAAGTGGGTAATAAAGATGGAAGATGAAGAGATGAAGAGAAGGAGAACTCGTTAATTTGGCGATGATTTGTCGGTCATGTAAAGAAGCTGCTTGTTGTTATTGTTTATGATGATGATTCCGTTATCCACGGAGAAATTCCAGCTTCCGCCGCCGTCGCCGTCTTCGGTTTTACAGTTAAACCGCCTCAGATGCGACGAAAAACGGTTAAAATACAGTCGGTTTGAAGGATTCGCGTGGATCGGTCGCAGCAGGATGCTCTTACTTCTTGCTATCAGTTTGACCGTCGTCGGGACGTCGGTCCTCTCCCATCCTGCACACGTCAAGTACGACCAGAGGCAGGAAGGAAAGGTGAACGTGAGGACGGATTTCGAGAACTTCGTTATCCTGGTGATTTCGCCCTCGCAGAAGGGAAGCATTCCGTCGACACTGGGTGGAGGTGCAGGAGGTGCGAACGACCTTCTGGACTTCATCTTCAGCAGGGCGAACGCGGCGGTAAGGAACAACAAGAGGAAGCATTCGAAACCGGAGGCTGTTTCCGGTAACGAAACCGAAGCGTTCATCGAGTCCAAGACTGCTCCGTATCACGTGGATATCAGCAAGAGCAATTTGGCTAAATTGCATCCGGGTGATGAGGATGGTAACGGGGATAAGGTGCTGGTATCGCCGAAGATCGCGTTGCTGAGGAACAAGAAGCGGAGGAGGATGAGCAGGGCTTACGTTCTATCGGTTCCCGGAGAGGAAACGATGGTTTTGCTGAGGAAGAACAGGAAGTTGAAGGAGAAGGCCGTGGAGACTGGAACGAAGAAGGAAAAGTTGAGCCTCCTCGGAGCGGAATTCGAGCAGTGCGGACCAGGATACGAGAGGGATGCCCAAGGAATCTGCAAATCCTCCAAGAACAACTGATCTTAATGTCGATCGAAGCTTCTATTTATTAATTTATTTATTTATTTTTTCTATTTATTCCAATTAAACGTTCAACATACACTCGACTTCTCTCATTGATTTATATACCAATCACACAAAAAAACTAAAAATATCAAAGTAACTATTTGGGTTATATGAAGTAAGGTTAGGTTTAGACTTTACTTCATATAACCTAATCTAAACCTAACCTTATTCAAGCTCTGTAAACGCCTCAAAGTATCTAGTTTACATAATAATAAAGATTTTACTTAGCAGATCCATTTACTTAATGCTGAACTTAAACTTATTCGTATGTCAACCTTTTCTAAGTCAGATTGAAAAAGAAATTATTAAAAATAATGTTTTGGGGACATAATATGTCCAAAATTAAAAAAATAGCCAGGTATTTTGTTTTCATTTATTGTGTGAGAATTGGGACATCATGTCCCAACAAACAACGTATCTGGGATCTATTGTCCCAATAGACATTGTAATTATCTATTGCTGGGACATATTGTCCCAATAAGCTTGAATGGGTTAAGGAATACATCTAAGATGAAGATGTCTCATACTGTATATTCTTTGACGAAATATGCGTACATGTCTACACTATAAATAAATGCACTTGCTTTGCCTCTTCGGAATACCAGACGGATAAAACATAGCATCCTTTTAAATATAGAAAACACCAGAAAAAATCCGTAATCCGATACATGCGAAAGCTTGTGTTTCGGAAATCAGTATGAACCTCAGATCCAGGTCAAAATTAAACATCTTCTTTTAATCGAAAATCCGATCATATTTATATTAGGTTTTAACATAACCTAACTTAACCTAACCCTACTTAATCCCTGTAAACACCAGAAAAAATTATAAGATTATTTGATAATAAAGTAATTTCTATTATAAATCAAAGTCGTAATAAGAAATTCTATGCGACATGAATAATTCGCCTCGAATAACAATAATAATCATACAACATATTTTTTTATCATTATTTAAAATAATAAAATGAGAGCGTGATTTATTTGTACACAGGTTATGATTTGAAACCGGATAATTTTGTTGTTGTTGATGTTTTATCCTAATCTCACGTGTAGTCATGTAGCTTTATCGTTTTATATTAGGAAATAGGAATGCATACATATTTAAATGATAAAAATCTCGAAACACGTAAAAAAAAAAGTACCGTTCTTACTTTCGTGTTCATAAAAATTCTGCAAATAATTTTTCAATTCCATGAATTTAAATTTAAAAAAAAGTATAAAGATTTTTGAATTCGTGATGATTTTCTAGTTATTTTTGTTGTTAGTAGTACAAAAATTCATATATTTAAATAGACAATTTTTAATTAAAAAATATAAAATATTTGTATATTACGCATATTTGAATTTTGATATATACTTGAAAACCTAACCTAATTAAACTTAATACCTAACCTAACCTAAAAATTTTAATGACTGACGTTTAGGTAATTGTTGACATTTAGATATTATTGATGGTTAGGTTTTTGAATTATAAAAGTTTCCTATTTTTTTTTATTATTTATGTTACAAATTCTTTCATTTGTTGTATTTAAAATATAATAATTGTAATATGAATATAAATATATAAATTATATAAGAATAAGCAAATTTCATTCGTTTTCAAAGAATTCTTACAATTTTGAATTTCTTTATATATCAAATAAATAAAAGACATTCCATTATCAATGTCAGTGTCTTAAGTCTGTTTCATTCTTTTTTTATGTTATATACTGCATTTACAGGTTTTCTTTTCGCGTTAAATGCGAATGTTTATTTATCCCGAGAACCGTTTTCAACTGTTTTGTAGCAATGACCTCCCGGAGCGCCAGCCGCTTTGCGACTCATCGCCGGACATCAGCATCATCATCCAATTTTAGTAAAAATATATGTATAGCCAGAAATGTGCAAATATTAAATATAAGTTAATAACGTTTATGCTGGGGCAGCTGAGCAGGAAATGTATAATTTCCAAAAATAGATTCACCCCAAATGGAAGAAGAAAGGGTCTCCCACAAGGCACGATGCGCTCGTGCCACCAGCAAACGTTTTCGAAATCAGTCTGCGAAAGGTCTGGATAGGCTGTGAATAGAAGTGAGAGACGAAACAATAGAAAACTAAGATGATAGGTGGAAATAATCCGGGCATCGAGTGCTGCTGTTTTAGTTGCTGCACCTGCATAAACATCGGTTTTTTGAAAACCGAGAATGGATTGTTAAAAATTGCTGAAATCGTACGTATACTTGCAGATAAATGAATTTCGTTTAGTCTACAAGTTTTTAAAGAATATATTAAGATTGAAAATATCAAATTTTCTTGATGAAATTGTTGAAATGAAAGGACGTAAATACAATTTCAAAGAAAAGGCTTTCAACTTAATGATTTTGCTTAGAAAAATGAGTTAACCAGAATTAAAATCATGTGAAATTTCTAAAGGTCAATCTTTTGTCAGTGAAAATAATTGAAAAATTTAATTAATTTTTAATTATTTTTCTAAAATTTAATGAATTCAAACAAATTTATACTTTATATTATTACTATTAAGAAAATCATATAATAATTTGAATGAAGACTTTGAAGAATACTTTTATTTGTATATGAAAAATATTCAATATTTTGTCAAATTTTTTTTACAAAAAAATAGGTTTTTTTTGTTCCTATAAAAAATATTATGAAAGTGTATTTATAATAAAAATCAAATTCTTGGAAATAATAATACATTTACAATTTCGTTCTAATAAAATGATATTATAATAGGAATTTCAGCTTTAAAAACAAACTGAAATAAAGCTGATAACAAATAGTAAATTCAATTCATTGATAAATATTGATACAGAAATAAATATTTATCACACCTTACTTAAGCCAACATCAATATAATTCTATTTAATGCATTAAAATTTAGATTATTTTATTGGGAATATCTGGAAATACATGTATAAAAATCCTCATTTACAATTGTAACAAAGCATTCTAATCTATTTTTATACTGCAACATGTAAATCGTAAAGGTCTTGAACATTTTGTTTATTTTCTTCATCCGTTGCAGATCTTAGGTTCCTTCTGTCAATTTATGGCCGTTAACTTTGGTTTATCCTACGTGGCTACGATGGGAGTAGCCTACCAGGGCTTCGTAACCACAGCTGTTTGGTGTGTGATGACCACTTTCTTGCTGAGTGTATGCTACCTAGTGTCCTACAAGTCTGCGAGCCTAATCAGACAATCGTTATTCGTAAGTATCAACGAACCATGATTCAATAATCAACTTATTGTTGTAATAATATGGTAGCAATAAATTTGGATTATAGTTTTCTGGAAATAAATTTTCTGAGATTCGTCGAATTCCAAAAATAAACTATTTATCTCCGATTATTAAGAGAGAAAATCGGAGATCGCAGATAAACTATTATTGTTGCATTATTTTTCCAGGAATTGGTGTTCAATACGGTGGCCGCTTTCAATTACATAAGCGCCAGTTCGTATCTTGGATTCGTGGTGAAGACGTTACTATATCCACAGTACATCATAACGCCGCATTTTGAAGTGTATCCTGCGATGACAACAGCCTACGTGAGTATTAACAAAATCGAATATTAATAGTTCCAGTTAGTATATAGGACGAGGAAACAAACTCGTAGATAACTGTGAATGAATCTATTCGAATGCAAACGCGTGCACCTTATCAATTACGACTCATTCATGCGGAATATGGTGACATTGCTTTAGAAATTAATCACTGCACGATATTTCTAATGTAATTAGAAAGCTGCAGTAGTCATGGAGATTACATAGTATACTAAATATTAATTGAACAATTTCTTTAAAGATGATCGGGACATTGGTTGGAATTGTTCACGCGTACGACGCGTACAAGTCTTACAAATACTACAAAGGCTACAGATAAACTGCATCGACTATTACTTACTGGATCGTAATTAAGGAATAAATAAATTAAAATCAAAGTTGGAAATAAAAAGTTGTATTTATATATTAACAAAAATAATTGGATAAAAAGAAAACATGCAAATTGCTGATCAGCATTTACCGAGGACCATAGCCAGAAGGGCCATGCGGACAAACATTCCGCACTCGGCTTGCCTGAAGTAGGCAGCCCGTGGATCGGAATCGAAATCGCGGCTGATCTCGAAAACCCTCGGAAGCGGATGCATCACAACCATTTTCCTCTTCGCCCTGGTCATCAGCTTCGGCGTCACCACGAAATGTCCACACGCCTGAAACATATAAGCATTATTAATAAGTATTTATTTATGAATAATTGAACGTAGTACAGTCAGCATCTTTATAATGTACGTTCATGTGAAGGTACATTTTCGCTGACTTTACGTTGTTTTTATTTACCCCATGAACTTAATATATAGTTAACTTATTAAATGAACTACTTTACTGTAATGAATAGATTACAATAAACTTTCTTAAGAGCGACCTTGATATATATTTAATTACCTGTTTGTATTCCTCGTCAGTGTCGAAACGTTCCCTTTGAATTCTGGTCATGTACAGGACATCAGTATCTGGGAGGACAGACTCCAAACTTGTGAACTCTTCTTGAGAAATGCCCTTCGATTTCACGTACTGAACGATGTGGTTGGGCATCTTGAGGTTCGGTGGACTAACGTACCGTAGCTGAACGTTGTAGAGAGTCAGAAGTCTGGCTAAGGAATGCACGGTGCGTCCGTTCTTCAGATCACCAACTAAAGTGATGGTGAGGCCATTGACGGTGCCGATCTCTTCACGAATGGTGAACACATCCAGCAGAGCTTGAGACGGATGTTCTCCGATGCCATCGCCAGCATTAATCATCGGTTTACGACAATGACGGGATGCTTTCAGAACGGAACCAGGTGTCGGATGGCGGAGCACGACGACGTCCGCGTATCCGGCCATCACCTCGATGGAATCTTCGAGCGTTTCGCCCTTCTTCGCCGAAGAACTACTCTCGTCCATGTGGATGACGCGACCACCGAGTCTCTGCATAGCAGCGGAGAAACTGCAGCTCGTCCTAGTGCTGACCTCGTAGAAGATGGAAGCCATCACTTTGCCCTTCAGGATGTGATCGAGCGGACGGTCCTTGCCGACGAAAACGCGGAACGTCTGCGCCAAATTGAAGATGTCGTTGAGTTGCTCCTTGCTGAACATATCGACGGTGAGGATGTTCTTATTCGTTAAACCGTGAATGTGGTGCGTGGGTGGCTGTTGATGATTCGATTGAGCATCATGCCCGCTGAAGCTCTCGGTTCTCAATCTAGGCGAAGCACTGTTTTGGATCCTCAAATCCGAATAACTCTCATTAGCAAAGTGAACCTTCTGCGGTTCAGCTGCTAACAATCTGGAAAAGATTTCGTTGGTTTGTCCATCGTTGTCCAAATCGTAGACATGCATTGGTGCTGGTGAAATCGGTCTTTGATCCAACGCGGATGACGGACGACTGTCCAGGTAAGTAGGTTTCTTGACCGGTTCCCAATCGCGCACGTTCTGTCCGAATCCAGGTTGCACCAGGACTTGACCTTCAACGTAAGCAACTTCTCCTCTCAACACAACTCTGTGGATGGATCCTTTGATCTTCATTCCGGTGAACGGAGTCCATCTGGCTTTCGAGTACGGCATTGCCGCTGGGATGACCCATTCCTCATCCATATCCACTTCAACGTAAGTGTTCGGTTGTTCGGGCAAATTGAAGATCCTTCTCGGGTTTCTATGGAACTTGTTGATAATATCTTCCATGGTCAATCTTCCTTCATGCACGGCGTTCAAGAGCAGCGGAAGGATTGTCTCCAAACCTGGGAATCCGGGTGGAGCGTTCGGACTCATCTTCTCCTCCAAAGTGTGAGGAGCGTGATCAGTAGCAAAGCAATCAATTATATGGAGATTATCCCAAAGAGCTTGTTGATCCTCAGGCGAAGTCAAAACTGGCCTCACTTGGCTCTTCAGCGGACCTAACTTGTCTATGTCGTTGGTGCTCATGAACAAGTGATGAGGACACACTTCGCACGTAACCTTAAGTCCCTTCTCCTTAGCCGCTTTGATGATCTGGATCTCTTCCTTCCTGGCAACGTGGCAAATATGAATAGGCCTATTGTGGAGATTGGCTAACAAAAGTATAGCTGCAGTTGTTTGGCTCTCGGCGTGAACGCAGAGCGGCCAGCGTTTAGGCCAATTGGTCAAGTGCTTAGACCACACGGTCAAATCCTTCAAACGCAAAGTTGTGAACGTTTCGTTAAGGTACATCTTCAATCCAGCTGCTTCAGGTGCGAACTCCGTGATGGTGTTATAATTATCGGTGGAAGCTCCCATGAACAAGGCGTAATCGCAACGAGCGTTAGCATCTGCCAACTTCTTGACCAGCTGGAAGGACTCTTCATCTACGATCGCCGGATTCGTATTAGGCATAGCGCAGATCATGGTGACTCCACCAGCAAGGGCGGCCGCCGTGCAAGAGTTAAAGTCCTCCTTATGAGTTGCACCGGGTTCCCTAACGTGAACGTGCGTATCTATAAAACCTGGTAATTTAATCAGTTGTCTGGAAGACATGCAATCGCAGTGAGTCTTCATCGGAGGTGCTTTTCCGATCAACCTAAGAGCGTCGACCAAGAGCTTGGTGCACTTGACATCTGTTACCAAAGGAATGGAGTAATCAATGGCCAATCGCCTGGTCCTGTAACCGTGGGTCATAAAGGATGATACCCTCCTGGCTCCACCATTCCTCATCGGCAAATTGATAACCAGATCAAATTGCTTCTTGGACAAGAACTCTGCTAAAGGCTTAAGTTCTCCTTGACTCGTTATATCGTCGATGTTTTCGAAAGTCCACTGCACAGACTCCACCTGCAACACAACAAAATAAGCATTTTAAAATATGAATAATCCAATTAAAGCTTTTTGATAATATCATTAATTTTGATTCTATATTGAAACTGAAATTTGTCTATTCTTCAGATATGATTTTGATGATTTAATAATATATATAGGGCAAACTCTTCCTTGATTTAATTTAAAGATCGTTGAAAACAATTTGAAGTAGTTTTAATCAAACCGTCGCAGAGGTGCGTAGATAAGCAGTAAACACAAAAAAAAAACTTTAATCGATCATCATATAATCTACGAGATAAAGTTACATTCAGACAATCGTTCAGTTGCAAGGCGATCGCCTAGAAGGATGTGTGCGCTTCCACCGGAAACATCCAGTTATCTCCAAATATACAGAAATAGTTAAAGGACAATGCGGATACACTAGATTCCTATTAAGTTACCGTTCGAACGTACACAACAACCACAAATACGTTGATTGCACCCTTTCAACATCAGTTTTTCTGCTTCTCTTGTGCGAAATGGGGAAAGGCCATAGCAAAGGCGAGAAGAAACAGGACGAGATCCCAATGGATCGTACGAGGAACAAGAACGATAGTCAATTGCCATGGTTCATTATGGACGAAGACAAGGATATCGCTTTGCTTCAATCCGAGATACAGAACAATTTCGACGAGTTCCTGCTCAACAATCTGCTGTTGACCGTCGTGTTTTTCGAAAATTACCAGAGGTGAGTGAGTCAGTTTCGAAGCATTTCGCCTTATCTATAAGCAACGTTCGACTTACGATACGTTCGATACGATTAAAAATAATCCACGAAACAGAAACGTGAATGTTTTAATCCACATCATTGTAACCATAAAATCATACTAAATCAGAAGTTAAAGTATTCACAACGCATTTTAAACATCTTCATGATCCAATTTATATAATAGACGGAAGAGAAACGTAACATCATCAAGATTCTAAACCCAATTGTAAACTAGAAGATCAACGAATTACAAACAGAAAACCTTCATGATTGCACCTATTCTAAAATAGAAATTAAACCCATTACAACGTTCCAAAAAATCTACAAGTCAAAGTTAAATTTAGGCCTTTACAATATCAAGAATAATAAACAACAATAATTTGTCCATCAAAATATCCAAAAACTCATTTATCTCTCTTTTGCGTACACATGTCTAAAAACACATAATTTGAGAAATATGCGAAGGATGAGACATATAGTCTGGGCATGTGAAATACACAAAACAAAAATGCGTGTGAGCGATGTTTCATCGATACGATTGTGAGCCACCGAAATACCCGTTGCTCAATGCAACGCAATCATCAGCAAAGATGATCAAGTTTTTCGATATCGATATAAAATTTGAATGAATTGCAAAATAATCGTATGTTAGACAACTAAATAGATTACATGTCGATGTATAATTAGATTTGAATCCAATTGACACATACTTAAAACAATAAATGTTTAAGTAATACATAAGCAAAGTCTATTAAGTTTAGGAAACTCTGGTGGAAAATCTGAAGAAGTATCATGACTAAATTACAAATAAATCATTACTTCCATTTATAAACTCATAATCTGGATGATACACGAAGACCTTCGAATGAAAAGAATCAAATCTATTTATATAGGTAATTTTCCTACAATTTAGAATTTGCGAGATAATTGACTAAATGATCAGTAGAAATGTGGATGCAGCTAAACCTTAAATCAACTCGAAATGAATCATTGCATCTCGATAACAATAAGATTAAAAACAGTACAATGCAAACCAATAAAATAGGCAAATTATTGAAAATGGGGATTAGGACAAACGCAATTAGCAATTTACGCCTTAGTATAATTAATAACTATAATTTAATCAAAAATATGAAAGGACATTTTTATAATCAATTAAAGATTCAATAGTATGTAATAAATCACTAATATTAATTTGTTACTTTTCCTGTTTATTGTGTCTATATGATTAATATTAAGACTAGTTTCTCTACTTAATTGTTAAAGATATTACAGTTAGTCACTTATCTTTTAATCCCTCGACATGACACATCGTTAATATCGATTAACTTCAGATTTGAAATATAGAATAAAATTATTAACTACGTAGTTCATAAAGTAAATAAAATTCCACAAAGTTAAAATTCCTCGCTATATCTACTGTATTAAGTACAAAAATATATTGTAAACTACTTAAAACATTAATTAACTTGACAAGTATACATATATGGCAACTTGCACAAGTACTTGTCTTATATGTTATAACTGTTAAAACAAAGTTGCATTGAATAGACTCAACAAAAAATAAGTTTTTGAAAAATTATAGATGGAATGAGTAATATGTATAGACTATGAGTAAAACTTACTTAAACATGTTCAAATATTAATTACATATATGAAATTAAGCGAACAATGTATCAATTAAATATGATGAAATGTTAATCTCTGAATGTTTATCGATACAAACAAATAAATATTTATGAAAACAAATTTGAATTACACATCAAATTTTGTACAAAATATTTTTGAGTATATAATGCTTTATATCATTGGAAATAGTTCTACTAATTTTTTTTTAAATACTTGAAATACTTTGGTATTATGTAAGTATATTTAATAGACTTAAATATTGTAGTATATTTATACGTAAAATTTTGTACAAATTCAAGATCTTTTAGCGATAATTAATTTATTTGCGGTGACCTCATCGTTTTTTTTAGTTCATAATGATAACATAAGTATTTCATTACGTCATTAAAAAAAAAGAGCGTTTGCTACAAGATTTTTTTTGGATAATGTCTCATATAGTGTGAACGTAATTTTAATATATAAAAATATCTAATTAAAAATTTGTTTAAAAAAAATAATTGCTATGGAAATTAGCAATAGATTATCAATGATTTTCAGGAAATATGAAGCGATTTTCACCAACATAATCATGCCCACTACAAACTTTACACCTACTTGATATGCAAGTATTTCCTGAAACAATGGATGATATCTGGCAAACGGAGATAAATGACGATCGTATATTTATCGATTGTTGTTTTTTCAATTCGTACACTCTCGATTTAGGAACGCTTCGATTCCCAGGATCCTCGTTATTACGTTAATGGAAGCAATTCATCAAATCAATACGGATCTCGAGTGGAGGTGTATAATTACAGTAAATGCGGAATGGATGTTCGCTGCACGTAATCGTGTGGACAGATCGGATTGTGGCAGTAGCAGTTCCAAGAAATATCGAAAATTGTGATTTTTTGATATTGTCCTCGATGACTTTTACAATTGAGTTTGTGTGTGTTTTTTTGTTGTTGTTGTTTTAATTTGCCACAGACGTTAGATTCTTTTTCGGATGTCCCCCAAATCTGCCATCGATTGCCCGTTAATCCACATTGGAATTAGGCTATACTCTAGCACGATAAGATACGGGCAATCAATAAGACTGGGGGATTAGTTTTCGACAATGTTGGATTGTTTTTAACACAACAGATATGTACGAAATTCTCAGAAAATATTATGTTGGTTGCTTTGTGAAATTCACAATACATTCGTTATTACAAGTGTACTTGACTTGACAAGTATAAACGCAAGTAAATAATCCATAATGATATAATAATATTGTTTTGAAGTATTGCATTTAGGTATTAGTTATCGAAGTGCAGATAAGATCTGGTTGCATAATTAGGCTTTCTGATATTTGCATTGAGCGTGCATTTGATTACATTTTTTTTCCAATGCAAAAATAATCCAATTAACAGCGACAATTGGGATTTCGCAATGTATAGGAGGAGATTTGAGTATTTTTCCGTAGCTTCAACGATCAAAATAATTTGATTAAAATATCTCAATTCTCTTTATACAATTTTATAATATCGATATGCAATGTTTTCAGTGAACATAAACAAACACATTTTATCGTATTCTTTTCTCGCAATTCGCGATAAAACGTAATGCAACAATGTCGTATACGTGATGTCATTGCTTTTTTATTTCACGTAAACATTTCCTAGAGATTTTATATCAATTGTAATGATTTCTTCATTTTGTATAATTCTTTACTGCAGGCAAATACAGGATGTAGCGCCAATTGGTCATAAGGAAACTGAGTTCAGTCCATTGTGCGAACACCAGATTAGCTATGTGAGACCCAACAGTGTGATGGAACTGGTGGATAGGAATGTTAAGTTCCAAAGACTTCACGGACCAAAGAAGAACGTTAAAGAGTCAATAGTTCCAAAACGTCTGTTCGTGATCTACGAGAACATCGAGGTTCTGCAGCCTGAGGAGAACAACATTTACTCGAGCATCGACAAAACCATGTACAAAGCAATCGCGGATAAAGCGATGTTCACCACCAAAGAGGGAAATAAGAAGGAACTGGCAGGTGAGTGGCAATATCAGATCAGATACGCGTATAAATAAATCCGTTCCTAGAACACAGATTTGATTTTTGGGTACGGAATAATCGACAGATAGTAGCTTCTGACTTTCTAAATGCGATACGAAAAAAAAACCTTTCACTTTTTACTTATCTGGCATTGATACGTCTCGCGAAAGTTACGGTAGTTTTTTTTTCCTGTTGTTAGATAATGCGATAACATCTTACAACAAAATTTAACACGATCAGTGAATTAGTAAATTACGTTCCCAGGGTTCATCGAGTTGAAGTATTTACCGGAATCCTGTATGAAGCCTTCCTCGTCGGTGTCCAGCACGAGTACAAGCGACAGCGAATCTGTGACAAAGTCTGATGACTTCGATGATAGCGTTTACAATACTATTATAGATGCGAGAACGCCGAAGCCACTGAACGATGAGAACAGGAAGAACTTTGGAAAGTCGTTCATCATCTCCACTAAAGTTAAGAATATAGTTGAGCAAGGTAAAGATGGAGAACCACCAAAGAATGCGGAGCTTTTCCGGTACGAGTATAACTTGAGCTCGACGGTCTTGATGAACCACTTCAAGCACAAGGAGTTCCAATACTCGCTGAGCGAAGCTCTCGGTTTCGAGAAAGATATAGTCGATGCGGCGATGTACAACAACACCAATGTCTTTTACAATATCCTGGATGAGGAGGAGAACGAGCTGATCCAGTGGGAACTGATACCGGCCATCGAGATCGACTGGCCCAGCGATCAAACATCAGAATGGTATAATTGTCGCAGAGCAATGAAGGACAATAATCATAGGATTTGCCAGTGGCCCAGAAAGTACATGCTGGAGAAACTGCAAGATCTTAAAGCTTTCGCCATTCCTAGCGGTTGCATGTTCAAGCGCAGCTTGAACGAACGCCTCAACTTCGAGTGGGAGTTGGCGTTCCCACTGCAAGAGAAATATCTAGAAGCTAAGCTGGGTCACGTTCAGTTGACCATCTACTTCTTCTTCAACACCCTCTTCAAAACTTTCATCGAGCCCCAAACACAGCAGAAGGGCCTCCTCGCGGACCATTTCAGGAACCTGATTTTCAGTGAATGCGAGAAGAACTGCTACCAGTGGCCACAGCTTCGTCTCGGCAAAAAAATTCTGATCCTCATCGACATCCTCTACAACCATCTAGGCAAGCACAGAATGCCGCATTATTTCGTGCGTGAGAAGAACCTCTTTCAAAATATCCCGGCGCAGTTCCTGCGCAAAGCCCAGGAGACTCTAAACAATATCAGGGAAATGCCCGTGATGCATTTTCTTTTGGCGATGCGAAACTTGCAGTACGTCAACGAATCGTTCTACCCAATGCCCAATCTGAAGAGGCTGTACGAAATCTTGGTGGAAGAAAAACTGACGAAGCAGTTTGAAATCATCGGAGGAAGCACACCTGAACCAGTGGTCGTGAAGCCGGTGGAGCCATTCGACGAGGAGGCGGATTGGGAGACGCGCTGTCGAGAGGAGAAGAGGCGAAAGCGGCGACAGGCCAAATTGGAAGCGGAAGAAGCAAGGAAAAACAAAGAGAATCTCAAAGCGGCCACAAGGTTATCCACCGATTCCATCGATCTAACGGTATTGCAACGCACGTTTCATCAATTACCATCGTTATTTAACATATTCTATTTTTCAGTGGAAACATGATACATCAAATATGGATAGCAACTTATACAAGATACCGATGATCCTGGAGTTCTTCATAGATCATTTCATTGACATCGCGAAACACAGCTTAAAGCTGAGAGACTACAACCAGAGCAAACTGTATTTGAGGCAAGCCACCTTGCTATCGAAGGTTCATAGCAAGGATGCAAACCACGCTATGAGAGCGGAGGACTACTTGAAGCTCATCGAGGATTTGGAGAACAAGGTCGACTCTGCCATGGAGAAGAAGACATACGAGAAACCATCGTTACCATTGCGCAACTCTAGCTCCGTGCACATGCCGAAAACCTGGATGGTAAACAATATTTCGCTGAAGAGCGACAAGCTTCATAAGGAGTACAACAGCTACGAAAAGAAACCTATTATAAAGAAGGAAAGACCGGATTCCAACATGAGCATCAACAGCCATGAAGATGCACCTACCAGCAGCAGCGGAAGTGGCGCGAAAACCATAACTTTCAAAGCGGACGTCGAAGTAGTGTAAAAGATTGATATCCAAATTAGTAATCAAATAGGACTTACGTCTACGCCGTGTTCGTTGTAGAAATCCGCGGTTCCCAAACTGGCGTACAGCTTGTATCCCATCTTGTCTAGTGCCCTCATACTCGGAAGCAATTCCATTTTGTGCTGCAAAAACAAAGAGAAACAAATAAGTGCAAATAAGATATTTATAAACGTTTAGATTTTAAGAAACTTTTGCAAGCGATGCTTAAAACTCATTTATAATTAAATCTTTTGTTTTTATTATATAATATGTATTTCTGTGAAGTGTATATAATAATTATTGAATTGCCTATATAGAATCGACTCGATCCTTCATTTTCCTCTCGTTTTTTTTTTTATTTTCGTTATTTTTCAGCTGTGCAAATTATATAATTCGCAAATTAAAATCTAATCGAAAGCCCTCGAGACTAATTGGAAACAAATCCATTTAATTTCAAGTGCGAACACGTAAAATACATTTAATCGAAATTATTGTTGTTGATATCATCGAAAAATTGCAAATGCAAATTAACATCCATTGAAATAATATCATTTGATTCCAGATCATGTAACATTCATAATACAAACATATAAAAAAAATAAAGTAAAACAATGAACTATTTTCTGATTACGATAAAGATATTATTTAATTATAGAAAATCATAAAATTATTTTTTTACAAAAAATAATATTTAGGCCTTCTTTTTGTGATCATTTAAATGAGTATTGTGAAGTGTTATTATAATAATATTTTAAGATATTTTTGCAGTAACTGTAGCAAAACTATTATACTTGAGTTTCAAGAGTAACTCATTTAGTAATATATGTGATGAGCGCTGCTGCTTAATTTTCAAACATGGTGTATGTTCAATTCTCGCAGTTACCTGATGTTGTTAAAACAACAAAAACAAATGATATCTTACCTTGAAGCTGCCAATGGACAAAAGGATGGATTTTTTGGGGATGCTGAAGCCAGTGCTCATCATGGCCTTGAGATAAGCTTCGTGTCTGTTGTCTCCGAAGCAGGCGACTTCTCCAGTGGAGGCCATCTCCACGCCCAGCATGAAGTCAGCACCGGCCAATCGCGAGAACGAGAATTGCGGCACTTTAACACCGACCTTTCCGCAACCGCTGAGCACGTCCACGGGCTCCACCTTCTCCCCGACGATGACTCTGGTGGCCATCGCCACGAAGTCGTGATCGAGCGTTTTCGAGACGAACGGGAAACTCCTCGAGACGCGCACATTACACTCGATAACTTTCAAATCGTTATCCTAGAATTAAGTAATATTATGTAAGTAAACCTGTCATAGGTTGCGGTTGTTTGTTTTCGTTACCTTGGCGATGAGTTGCATGTTGAATGGTCCGGTGACTTCCAGGTTTGCTGCGATTGCTTTGGAAATCTGTTTGATCTTCATCAGAGTTTCGGGATTGATGTCTTGTGGTGGTGTGACCAAGGTGGCATCTCCTGAGTGAACTCCAGCATTCTCCACGTGTTCGGATACGGCCATGCAAAGGATAACGCCATCGCACGCTACAGCGTCCACGTCGATCTCTTTGGATTCCAAGATGAACTTGGAGATGACCACGGGGTGCTCCTTGCTGACGTCGCTGGCTGCGTTCAGGTAAGTTTCCAGATCTTGATTAGAGTGCGCCACGTTCATGGCGGCACCACTAAGTACGTACGATGGTCTCACCAAGCACGGATAGCCGACTTCCTCGCAGAAATCGATGGCCAGTTTCAGGTTGGTCAGCTCCTTCCATCTGGGCTGTAGAATTCCAATCCTGTCCAACATACGGGAGAACTTGAACCTGTTCTCTGCTCCATCAATAGAATCTGGAGATGTTCCCAATATTCTAGCCTGTTGCCTATGGAGATCCATGGCGATGTTATTTGGCAATTGTCCTCCCATGGACAATATGATTCCAGTCGGATTTTCTATATTGTATATATCCATTACGACCTCGAAAGAGATCTCCTCAAAGTACAGACGATCTGACATGTCGTAATCTGTACTCACAGTTTCCGGATTATAGTTAACCATAATCGTCTTCTTCCCTAACTTCCTCAGTTCCCTCAAGCAACCAACAGCGCACCAATCGAACTCCACTGAGCTACCAATCCTGTATACACCAGAGCCTATGACCATGGTGTGCTCTTCATCGAAACTTAAATCGTTACTGCACGCATTGTACGTTAAGTACAAGTAATTAGTAGTAGCTGGCCATTCCGCTGCAACAGTATCAATTTGTTTTACACTTGGCGTGATTCTGAAATCTTGCCTCTGCTTCCTGATGGCCAATTCGGTGCTCTTCACCGCCGCAGCAATCTGTTTATCGCTGAAACCGATCTGCTTGGCTCGCAGCAGTACATCATGTGATAAATTGTTTTGATCGATGCTCTCTAAAGAAGTGTTAAAGTCCACGATGTTCTTCATCTTCTGCAAGAACCACCTATCGATTTTCGTCAAATCGTATAATCTATCGACGCTGTAGCCTTGCCGAAGAGCGGCTGCCACCACAAACATTCTCTTATCAGTAGGTTCCTTTAACTCTTCATCATCAACCTCTTTTATATAGGGATCGAACCCGTTGACGCTTTCATCAACCATACGCAAAGCTTTTTGGAAAGCCTCCTCGAATTTTCTGCCGATAGCCATGACCTCACCAACGCTTTTCATGGAACTACCGATCTTCGTGCTGACCCTTGAGAACTTGCTCAAATCCCATCTAGGGATCTTAACAACGCAATAATCCAAGCTAGGCTCGAAGCACGCTGTGGTAACACCGGTTACGGAGTTCTTAATCTCCGGTAAAGAGATTCCCAAAGCCAATTTCGCAGCTACGTAAGCCAGAGGATAACCTGTGGCTTTGCTGGCCAAAGCCGAACTCCTCGATAATCTAGCATTAACTTCGATAATGTAATACTCTTCTGCGTAAGGATTCACGGCGTACTGTATATTGCATTCTCCTACAACTCCGAAATGCCTAATGACACTAACGGCTGTCGTTCTTAACAAGTTATATTCTTTGTTCGAAAGCGTCTGGCTGGGAGCAACAACAATAGATTCTCCAGTGTGAATGCCCAACGGATCGACGTTCTCCATATTACAAACGGTTATACAATTGTCGTAAGCATCCCTCACCACCTCGTATTCAACCTCCTTCCATCCCTTCAAACTTTTATCGATGATCAATTGCGTGGAATGCGCCAAAGCCTGTTGTGCCAAAGACTTTAATTCCTCTTTGTTATCGGCGAATCCTGATCCTAAACCTCCCAAAGAGAAGGCGGCGCGAGCCATGACTGGGTAACCCAGCTGTTCAGCAGCTTCCAAAGCCTCTGCAACAGAATATGCAGCCATACTTGGAGCAACCTTTTCACCGATCGACGCGATCCTCTCGCTGAAAATCTTCCTATCTTCCGTATCGATGATAGCATCGATTGGCGTTCCCAAAATCTTCACTCCGTACTTCTCGAAAACTCCAGCCTTCTGCAGCTCAACCCCGCAATTTAACCCTGTCTGACCACCGAACGTCAGCAGAACTCCTCCGGGTCTTTCGGAGCGTATCACCTGCTCCACGTATTCCGGTACAAGTGGCAAGAAATAAACTTTATCCGCCAATCCTTTCGATGTTTGCACTGTCGCGATGTTTGGATTGATAAGCACAGTTTGTATGTTCTCCTCCTGCAAAGCCTTGATGGCTTGCGATCCGGAATAATCGAATTCTCCAGCTTGGCCGATGGATAAACCGCCGGAACCAATGATCAAAACCTTGTTGGGAACGTTCTCTTTGATTGAAACTTTTGGGGTGTAAACCAAGTTCTTTTGGATCAATGTTTTAGCTGAAGCCGTAACGCCTATAGCCGATTGTTTCACCAGATCCAGGAACACGTCGAAGAGCGACTCAAGATCTTGAGGACCGGCCGTGTGCTCCGGATGGAATTGCACGCTGAAGTATGGTAAACTGGAGTGAACGATACCCTCGTTGGTCTTATCATTAGCATTAGAGAAAAGAGATTCCCAATCTGCAGGAAGAGATTTTGCATCCACCGCGAATCCGTGATTCTGCGAAGTCATGTAACATCTTTCGGTTCCGTGATGGATGCACGGCTGATTGTGTCCACGATTTCCGTATCTGAAAAAGTACGTCATTACTCACAACTTGTTATTATATTTAATTAATGTAACGTTTTTACTTCATTTTGTAGGTGGAACAGCCTATGGCGGATGAAAGAAGTTGATGACCCAGACAGATACCGAAGATCGGTTTAATTTTACCGCTGTTAAACACGCTTTGGATGTTGTTGATGGTGGTTTCACACATGACGGGGTTACCAGGTCCATTGCTCAAGAACAAACCGTCGTAATCATCGATGTTAACCTTGTGGTTCCATGGAACCACATCAACGCGAGCGCCGCGGCTCAAGAAGCATCTGATCTGGTTGTATTTCAATCCGCAGTCGATGGCGCAGATCCTCGGAGATCCTTCAGGATTGTACGTTTTCACTTCATTAACGGAAACTTCTTCCACTAGATTCCTTTCATTAGGATCCTTCAGGTTCGTTTTGCCATCAGGAGTTGGTAAACTGTAAACGATACGGCCCAAAACGCTTCCTTTCTCTCTGATCTTCTTCGTCAGAGCTCTGGTATCGATGCCTTGGATACCGGGGATGTTCTCGCTCTGCATCCATTTGTTCAAAGTCTGCACTTGCCTCCAATGACTCGGAGAATCGCAGTACTCGCCGACGACGAGGCCTGCCGCCCAGATGCGACTTGACTCGAAGAAACTGAAATAATTAATAACTTTGCATAAAAAAATCTCTCCAACTGTTCGTTGTTTTTACTATGGAAGTCCGTGTTCGTCCTTCTGCTCTCCTGGTACACCGTAGTTACCGATGATCGGATAGGTCAGGACCAAAATTTGTGCGCGATAACTTGGATCCGTTAACGACTCTGGATATCCTACCATACCAGTTTGAAACACTGAAACATAATTAATTATTAATTAACACAAGTGCATATTACACTTCCAACAATCTTCATAATACACATACGTGAAAGTAATTACAAATTTCTTAACTTTCACTAGAATGCATTTTTTATTCGCATTGAGAAAGGTCAAGAGGCGTACGCAGACGATCCTTAGAGGAAGTAATTATTCTGTTGTTGCAGACAGAGTGTTAATGTATTCAAAGTACATCGGCCGTGCACAATCTGCGTTGTTATCTTTCTTTTTTTTTAACAAGTTCAATTGTTTGGAATCATGTGCGTAACTTGGCAACAGCAATTGTTACCTATCTAACTTATTATCATAATTATAACATAAAATCCGTTGAACTTTAATTTGCACAAAGATTCTGCTCATTTTATATACATGTTAAAATCTTTAATTATATAATATCACATTTTACCAACATAAATTATAAATTTTGGATAAACAGTTTGTATCAATAACATATTTGAAATTATCAATTAAAAATTTCAGGACGATTGTGAAATTTAGTGATGATCAAGTTGGATAAGACGAAATTAATTAAAATACAGTTGGTACTATATTTGAATTTTTGAATCTTGAATACATTTTAAACTCTGTATTTAATTTAAAATAGTAAAACAAATAATATAGTTTCTTCTTAAATTTATAATGTAATTTATATAATAAATCAATTTTATAACGCAATTAGTTTAAATTTAATGACTAATTGACAGGTGCAAAAGCCGGAAGTAGAAATTGACAGCGTCATTCAAAAATTAGACAAAAATTATAAACTTTGCGTTTCAAAACATTTTATTATATTGAAATATGTGAAATGGGTTCAATGTTCGTTTTTTCGTCAAGTTCGATTCAGTCTATACACTTGATATAATTTTGAGGTCAATGAGAATTATTCCGCAACGGCGTTTGACCTATTGCGATGTAAACGCTCCAATTTACCGGCGGGAATTTCGAATTTCTTCAACTTCGAGTTATCTACGCGCTATCTCGTTACATAGCGTCAACAATTTAATTTTATCTAAGGTTAAATGTATTATATTTCCTATTTATTATTGCGACTATTCTTCACTGATACGTGATTTCAATACAAGAAACATTTTGATTTAAACTATTTAAAAAAAATATTTGAATTTCAATTATTATATGGAATGAAGTTAATTGTAATATTTTGATTAATTGTTTGTGTTCAAGTTGCATTAAGTGATGGAATGCGATATTGAAATATTCAAACATTCTTCGGGTTCGACTTTATCAGCATTCTGCGACGTGTGGGCGTCATCGAGGGACGTCCTGGAGCGAGGATATGTTTTCGTTTGATATGGTTAGTATGGATTTGAAGTTGCAGCGCAATTAGGATCGATAGCTGTACTACAATTGTTGAAAACGTCGCGTGGCCACGTGTTTCTGAAGTGCACTTACCGACTTCTCCGTCGACCTGCGTCCTCGCGCCGAAGGCCTGACCCCTGAGCACGGTACCATCCTCCAAGAGCAGGAAGGCCGGATCGTTCTGGCCGTCTGCGGTCATCTCGGAACACTGTTTGATAATCGTTTGGACGGTGCGAGATGAGGAAGGAAAGCCGGATGGTTCTACAAGCTCTACTATACCTGTTCGTACAGAACCAGTTTTCGTGAAAAACCAGCTACGACCGGCAGCAATTCACGCAGAAGCAAGCACAAGAAACCACGTGTTGCGCGTCGCGATTACTTCTGTACATGTGTATTCAAGAGCGCGACTCTGGAATTTGTGGAAGGAGCTCACAGCCTTGATAACGATAATACACATCCAAGTTTATCATCGACTGCGCGACGCCGAGCATCTCTTCCTCCCCGGCCTAAGATGCAGATCTCATCCCACCTACAAAAAAATCTTCGAACATCCCTGGTTTTCCTAACATAACGGTAAATGATATGCCAGATGCATCCCCTGAAAGCCATAAATCTTTAAACATAACATCGAAACCCTACAAAACAACCAGTGAAAACAAATAATAATAGTATTTTCGTTTTAAATTTTCTACATCTACAGCTGCACAACAATCGACAAATACAAATTTAGAAAAAAATGGAGCGCGCCTTTAGTGGCTATAAACATACTTAAGTAATGTTAGCATATGTAACCATGGTTACATCAATAAATAAATAGATACGTTTTTAGATATAGAACATATTTGATTAATTGATAGACTGATCTATGGTTTATATAAACTAAACTTTATTTCAAATTACTTACATCTGCAGAAACATAAAAAAATACAAATTTAAAGTGCAATAATTTAAAACACATACTTAAGTAAAAGCTACTAAAATTAACAATTCTTAAATTGCATTAAATTATATTTGTTTTTCAAGTCGATTAAGAAATGTATAACGTTTAAACAAATTTCGTTTTATGCAACATAGCGATCAATTTATTATATGTATGATTCATACTTTTCTTATCAGCTTTATCAAATAAACGTAGTATTTGCAAAGCACTTCACATTTTTATTATTGTATTTGATAAAAAAAAAACAATATTTAATCCATTTCGTTGCATGTGTTTTGTGCTAATTATCAGATATATTAAATAATTTTAAGGGTAATAAATCAGCAAATGTATACATTTACTAGTCATCGTACGTACATATTAGATGGCAATTTTTGAATGATTTTATGAAAATCTCAATATAATAAGATTTTTCATTTTCTTATGATTATATAAGAAGGTTCTTATTGTAATAAATCAATGGTTACGAAATGTTAATAATTGAAACAAATATGTCGATTTTTCTATCTTCTTGTCAGGCCTTCGGATTTTATTTAATTACTGATTAACGAAGCATATTTATTAAATCAAAAAATATGCATATTAAAGTAGAAACTTTGGCGTTTTAAACAAGACAATTTTCAGAATTGTGGCTTTTACCCTTCTCTTAATATACAATATCAAATTTGAGTTTTAAAATGAGGATTCAAAAAAAGTATACTCTTTCCTTCATACTTACAAGTATATTTGGTTGCAATTTTGTGTTTTTTAGGAAACGCAGCTCTGAAATTGTAAAACTTTATTAATGTTTCTGATTTGTCTGACTGATTTTTCTGGTTGTGGTAAATAATAAAAAGTCATATTAAATAAGCAAAACAAGGTTTATGTAGTCAATACATTAATAATAATATATATATAGATTATAAAATAATAGATAGTTTTATGCGGGAACAAAAACGTCCCGAAAAGCAATTGTCGTGATGGCCTTTTGATGTCCCACGTATTCTCTCTCGATGGTTCCATCCTTCACGTTCCACAAGCGCGCAATATTATCCGAAGATCCTGAAAAGAAAAAACGAACATCCGTTTTTATTTCATATCGTTCTCATAGAGATGAATCAATTTACCTGTAAACAAGTATTGCGAATCCGAACTGAAAGCCGCATCCCAAACCCATCTTTTATTGTTATGCTTCAATTCCTTGATCAATTTGAAATTGTTCTTAGCGTCCCAAATTTTCGCTGTTTGATCCGACGATGTTGTGACTAGATAACTGTAATTTATGAAAAAAAGTGATGTAAGTGATTAAATACAAAAACTCATCTCTAGCATTCCTTAAAAACTGCACAAGGACTCCAGAACGAAATAAATACGAGATATTCTACAGTGTCCAGAGATATTTGAATCCTGGGACACGACAATACTTTAATATTTGATACGTACTTTGAATCTGGACTGAATTTACACTTCAACGCTTGCCTCGGATGAGCTTCGAATTTGTTTTTCGGAAGAATCGTGGTGCGTTCCTCCGATTTACAACCACCAGAAATACTCCAAATGAAGCATCTGCCCTTGCTGTTAACAGCAGCTAAATGTGTGCCATCAGGATTTATGGCCAAATCAATAATCATATTATCCAAATCTGGAATCTGTTATTAATTAATTAAGTGAATTGCTTTTGTATCAAATTTTAACTTACATATTGATCAGCATTATCTGTCTTCATGTCCCACATATGGATAGTGCCATTCTGATCTCCAATGAACACTTCCGACTGATTCGGATGAAGCTGGACACAGGTGACAGGTGCAAAAACTTCATAATGATGTGGATTATTGGTTGTCTCCCTCAAATCCCAAATTCTCACTTTGCCATCTTCGCCTCCGGAATACATCCATTTCGTGTTTTTCTCAAAACCCACAGCAGTCACATTCTTGGGGACTCCCTCATAGTTGAAATCATGGTTTTGGTTTGTGGTGGTTAGATCGAACATACGGATGTGCTGGTAACTGGCTGCAGCCAAATACCTCCTATCTGGTGTGATTTCAAGCATGTTGACTTGAGATTCTGCATGTTGCAATGTCTTCTGGCAATTCCCTGTGTGCGTTTGCCAAAGTTTGATTGTATGATCATAGCCACCTGTGGCAAATATGATTTGATCACTCCCGATTGCTCCTGCTTCACCAGACATGGTTATTACAACAATTCAATAAGCATGCACTTTCTCAAACACTAATTTTTTGCATACATTTTCCGTTATTCTTAAACTGACTTAAACCACTAAAAACACCTCTTGTTTACCAATAAGAGTACAGGTTAGGTTTACAAAAACAATGATTACAACACCTTGAATTACATAAGTAGCCAACCCATAAATATGAAATTATGTTTAATACTATTACTTATTAAATCGCTTTCAATTTAAATATTAATGATAATCGAATTATCTTTGGTACAAACGTTTTTATAAATTTTTATTAATAAATTCTATGTTATTAATCAAAAGTTACAAATTTTTGAAAACAGAAAAAAATAATAAGGTTGGTTACCCTGCAATCCGCATCTTAAACAAACCGACTGGTGCTAACCTCAAATAAATACTATTTGATTTCGTTTCGTTAGAAGTACAGGACAAATCTCAAACATGTCGAAGGCTCATCCTCCAGAATTGAAGAAGTAAGCATTAGCAACGAATTTAATCATTTTATCTAACGATTTGTGTATGTGCTCAGGTTTATGGACAAAAAACTTAGTTTGAAGTTGAATGGAGGAAGGCAAGTTGTGGGCATTTTGAGAGGCTTCGATCCTTTCATGAACCTCGTCGTCGATGAAACCATCGAGGAATGCAAGGATGGTTCCAAGAACACTGTTGGTATGGTGGTAAGTTAATTGCATTGCATCTTGATTTGCGATGAAACTGGTGATCATTTGGAATTTGATTGTTTTAGGTTATCCGTGGAAACAGTATAGTCATGCTTGAGGCCCTGGACCGGGTGTAGTATTAGAACCATGTAATATAAGATTTTTTTTTTGTAATAAAAACTTTGAAAATGTAAAGAGAAAATGTTTGTTTTCATTATATTCCTTTGTCTTCCTGAAACTTCTTACTGCTGTAAGCTGTATGATCCTAATTTTTATTTATCAAGACAAAAACTGCAGGAATCTTCAAACTTGTTTTTCTTTTATCTTAAAAAATTGATAAAATTTTTATTAATTTTCAATAGGTTTGAATAATTTTGGTGGTGTGGGAGAAATTAAACAAAACATTGATTATCGTTCTTATTTAATAGTAAATATCATTGTCATAAGTAAGCTGTTGTCATGGGTTTTCTTTTGTTACTTTCTACATTTGGGATCACAATAAACGTCCGTCAGATTCTCTTCGTTTCCATCGAGCGCGTCCTGCCTCGAAAGCTGTCCCGAGCTGATGGAATTCCTGCTGGAGAGGCTCAGATTGCTCGCAGACATCAACCTCGAACTATCCAAAGAGATGCTGTGCTCTGAACCCTCCGAAGCCTGTTTACTAGCCAAATTGTAGGCAATCGGACTGGTCTCGGAGATGGTCTGTTCGCCCTTCTTCAGGTTCGTCTTCTCGTCCGGCGAGAAGCTCTGGAATGAATTGGCCAAACTGTTCGAGCTGTGCGAGGTCATGTAGCCCGGACTGAATGTCTTCGAAGGCGTCGAATTGTCGGAGACGAGTGGAGTGCTTTCGTTATCGCTGGCATCGTTCAGATCCGGACTGGAGTACAGCAATTTCTGCAGCTGGTCGAAGCCCTTCTTCTGCTTCTGCTTGTTATTCGAATTGTCGATAGACCGTGAACGGTTTCGAGCCGTCGCCTTCTCCGACTTCAAAATCAGACTCGTCGGTCGCACTTTATTCTCCTGCTTCTCGTACAAAACTGTCGCGTTCTTCGTGGAAACGCTTATGGAATTACCATCAACTCCATCCGACTTTATTATCACGTGCTTTCCTCGCTTACTTCCATCCAGATCCAACGACGGCTTGAAATTACTCAACTTGAAACTGTTCGTCTTCCTCTCCATCACTGAAAACAAAACAGATTAATACAAAATTATCTCAACTATCACACACTACTTGTACACTAAAAATCCTTAATTTACCAATGAAAATATATATATATTCCCATAACAACAACAATAACTTATCACAAACATCAATACTAACGAATCATTAACAAAGATAACAATAGGAATAGTTTGCTTATACCAATAACTATAATACAAAACATTGAATAATAAACAAACTTCAGTTTCTTACATTTCCAACACTCGCCTTCTATTTTTAAACTTTTCCATTTCGACTTTTGCTTCGGTAAGATTGAAAACAAATATAAAATATTACATCTTTCGCTTTTTTTTCTCTTAATTCGCATTATACGTAACTAGTTTCATTTCCCTCCAGAATAGACAATTTTCTTTCATCTAAATAAATCAAAGTTAATAATGTAATTTTAACATTTATCACTTAAAACACTTGTTGTATTTAGAAGAAATAAACACAATTAGTCAGATATCATTTCATTAATTATACTCAATACTTTAGTATTAATATTTAAGTTGTTTGAAAGTGTTAAATGTAAATCAAAAATTGACTGATACGTAATCTAAACAATGAATTATCAATAATAATATCATTAATTATCAATAATTATTGAGTAAATGTAATTTAGTAGAAAGTTCATTGTGAATTGAAGATGTTTTTGACGCTCATTTGTATTGGTATTATATAATTCTCAATAACAAGATTGGATCAAGTGTGCAGTTGTTTTTGTTATATGCGTTGTTATGGAAGATTTAAGTGACATTTTGTAAAGAAGTTTGAGTCTCTTTGTACATGAAGAAAATTGAAGCTGTGTAATCGATTTAGTGTAGAAATCTTCGTTTAGGTAAGTGTTTCTTATATTAGTATTTAGTTGTGTAATATTAGAAGTATCAATCGTGGATTTTAAAGCCTTATACTCTGTGATTGGTCGATCATCTTATATGATTCATATATTGACCAATCAGAGAACATAAATTCTTAAAGTTTTAAGAGTTTCTATTCTTGTAAACTTGAAAAGTGCTACCAACGTTATGATTGTACTACTTTACCTGGAGTCAAATGTGGAGAACTGCATCTCGAACTCTGCTCACTGATGTTCTCCGAGTTACCTTGGATGGAGATGCTTACAGGTTGCCAATTCAGAGCACCTATAGGTGATGACTGAAGAAGAACGAAGTCCGTTTCACCGATTCCGCACGAGCTGTTGGTTCTTGAGCGATAGTCGAACGGCGCCGCTTCTGAAATACCACCTCATTAGTCCTCTCTTATCAGACCACACCATAAATCAAAACTTAAGACCGCTCTAATCTAATTTACGTAACTAAAGCGACTACATTTACAATGCGCATGCCACGACAATAAGAGAAGCACGCCATCCCAACAATTTTATTAATGAAATAAACGCAACTATATTAAACTAAATTAAAATTAGTTAAACTCTCTACATACAAGTAAACACGTACAACAGCTATTGAATTCACTAAACTACAGCAACTAAGAATAAAAAAAAACTAGTAACAACAAAATAGAAAACACCAACTTGCACAGCAAACTACGATCAAAATAAGATAAGAAACGATTGTATTTAATGGTTCACAAAAATCGTACAAATTTTATTGGTGCGGAGAATCATATAAAATCGAAAACGAAATAATATTTTATACAAGGTACAAAATTAAATCATTAAAAATCTTCAACAACAATTTGCACTAATCATAATAATAAAGTGAATTCAATAACTGCAAAATAAAATCAAGAAACAAAATAATTGGTATGGCGAACACATGCACAAAATAAGAAACAAAAAATAAATACAATTTGATTTTTTTCATCAATACTTCATATTTGTTTTTTTTTTTTGGTAAACTACTGTGATATATCACTACTAAAATATAATATCAACTCGTAACTTAATTAGTATCTATAAGTATAATACTTTACGTTAGTTAATATCAGAATTGCCGTTTGTTTGTATAAGGAATGATTTCAATTAAATAGGCAATTTGCGGCAATTAATCAATTACATTATATAACATTTTCTTTTGATTACGCTATTATTATACTAATTTGTATGTTTTGAGATCCATACGCTTATTGGCACTAACGGTTGTAAATGTATCATAAGTTATAAATAGAATTCCTAGGAACTATGTTATCATTAATGGCACTTTGATGGAAAGGTTTTTTTTTGTTGTATGGTTACATCAAAGAAGCGTTTGAACTCTTGATGGTTCCCAAGGAAACCGTGCTGCTGCTGCTGTTAGCATCGACGACACGGCCCTCGGGATCCAGGATCGTGACTGTCGGCTCGATGTAACATTTATTGTCCACATAGGTGACAGATTTCTGCAACCTTTCGCCGTTTTTCAAGCTCATGCACGATCGAATGCTCTGAGATTCTTCACCTTGAGAGCTCTCCGGACTCGGATGGATCACAAACGTCCTCGGTATGTCCGCACCATCCGATTCCATAACGTCTTCCGTCTCCTCCATCACATCTTCGCATGCCTCTTCGTTTAATGTTTGAAGCGCTCCGCAAATCATCTGCTCCTCTAAGGTCACCTAAAATATACAGATATTAGTAAAACTGTGCATTTCAAACGTATAAGAATATTATGATTACTGTTACCTGATACTATAAATCCAACAGTAAGTTTAAAGAAAGAAATAAATAGCTTATATTAATGATAGCAACAACGAGGGAAAAATTTACTAAGTTTGTAGCCAAAACTAAAGCCAAGATGTTATACTAAGAATAGTAATGGCGAAATACGATTTGTACACAGATAAAATCATATTAAATAGATGTTACATTCATAAGAAAATTACATAATTTGTTTTAATTGCGTAATGCTACATTTCAAGTTTTTAATTTATTTACTTTAAGAAACAACTGGTTAAATATATAAGATTTATAGATTCAAAATTTGTTGAATATTTTCTTTTAAAAAAAGTCAAAGTAATAGTTGAATGCTGCTTGCTAAATACTTGTTTGGTATCAAATGTCTTGCATCTAATTACTAAAAGAAAGGTTGAAGAGTGCTGACTGTGGGTATTTTGGATTATGCAATTTATAATAAATATATAAGAGTCTATTTTCTAAAGATTGAAAGAAGCATAGCACCAGTAAACTTGGGAATCTTCGCAGCATTCATAATAGTATAGCAAGGTTGTTGGTATAGTTTACTTACTCTCTCGAGTAGAGGAAACAGGCTATTCGCCAATTGTAAGTCTACGTGATATCGCTGAAAGAGCAATTCTTTACAGAAAGATGGTTTCGAGTATGTATGAATATGAAGAAGATTTTAAAGATATAAAGTTTCATTGAACAAACAAAGTGGAAAGATTTATAAAGAAATTGAAATATAGATTTGTAATTGGATACGAACAAATTTGAAGATATTTGACAAAATATTAATGGAACTGTAGAAATAGAATGAATTAAGAAGAGATAAAATTGAAAAACACCATAAAAATTAAAATTATTACGCACTTAATGAATGTTCCTTCTATATATTAATATTGTTGCTAATATGTTGATTTATTAAATTATTAGTTGAATTTTTGTAAGAAAAAAGAATGAAAACAATACCTGTTTTTCCATCACACTTTGCTTATTTCTGCTGGAAGTATCATTCTGGATCTTCAACTCGCTCTCGCTTCCGGAAGTAACAGGTTTACCTGTTAAACTTCCTAAAAAATTGAAGAAAGTAATTTAGTAAAATATTATTAGAGTTAATGGATGATATTTACCTTTTCTGCTTTCGGACGTTGATGGCACCACTTGCTTCTTTCCGATGGTGAACCTAACGTTCTTTGACTCATCCTGCTGAATGACCGTGGTCAACTCGTGCTCCCGCAGCGACACAATCATCACCTTGAACATTTCCCAATCTCCAAAGCTCATATTCAGCAACCTCTTCAGCTCCTCCAGATCGCAGTGGAGCAACACACGACCGTTCACGTTGTTCTGCTTCAAAATATCGGTGTATTCGGTTAAAGCATCCGGGGAGAACTCGTCCATCTTTTGCAAGAGCTTGCAGATGCCGTCCACGTTCAGCGAGGATAGCTTACACTCCAACACTTCCGGCTACAATAATGTATTTTGTTGATTTGAAGATTAAATGTTTGATTAGTTATTGCTTACAGAAATACTGGTGACAGGAGCTAATGGGTACTGAGGTTGAGGCGTGGCCATGCCTAGGTGGTCGCCCCAAGGTTGCGCCCAACCCATAACTCCTGCTTGAGGATAGACCACAGCCGTAGGCCCATGAGTCCTGTTCAAATTCCTCATCCTTCTGCTGAGTGGATGCTTCTGAGCAGACCAATCTGAAGCAGACTGTGGCCATGGAGAATGCATAGGCGTCATGCTCATAGGTCGATGGGGCGTACCCATAATAAGATCCTCGTCCAATCCCTGCGTCTCCTCCTTGATGACCTTCTTTAGGTACGGATCCAGGTTGATGGTGAACGGCAAGAAGATCTTCAGGTCGCTTACCAGCAGACTCGAACGGTGGAATGTTAAGAAGATATCGAACTTACGTTCATCTCTGTCCAGCTCGAGCAGCGGCTCGACATCCTTCAAAGTTGGAATGTGAGGCCGGATCCTTCAAAAGAAAGTTTAATTTTCACAATATCCTTAATACATAAGGAATGAGGATAACGCACTTATCGTAGATGGCCTTCAACGAAACGTTATCTTCCAACTTGTCCTCGCATGTGTCGAAATGGTAGATAATCCATGATGTGCGGAATGGCCACTGCTCGGTGATGTTTATCCAAGATGCCAAACGGTACCAGTTGAAATCTATATGGAATGCTTTCAAGAGGCGACCTGCAACAAGCAAATGTCAACATCTGCAATTATGTTAAACATCATCTAATATCTTTACCAGTTATGTAAACTACGTTCATCAGTCTTCGCATGGATTTGGGGTTCACGTCGCTGAAGTAATCATCGGTGAGCAACATCTTTGTTAAATCTTGAGCGCCGCCAATTCGGTTCAGGTTCGAACCGATGGAACTGGCAACGGATTCAGATAGCTTCAACTTCTTTGAGCCCTTGCGCATCGAGAACTTGGATAGCTTCTCCGTGCTCGACAGAAGGGTATTCTCCGAAGACAACCTACGCGCTGACAGCTATAAGTAACAAATATACAAGAAGCTTAATTATTGTTTGTACTTTTCAAGATTGATGATGAAATACTTACGGATTTTCCTGTTACGCTTAGAGCATCATCATTTGAAGTGGTTGCTGCTGCGTTGCTCTTGCGGGGAATGCTTGCCGTTTGCTGGGCTACTTTCACCTTCCTCAGGCCAGTATTCTGCAGGTAGAATGGAAGATGCACCATATTGTTCAGGTAACCGTGTCCACCAATGTTGCTCTCGCTGAACAGTCTTCGACTGTTCATTTCCACAGCCTAACGAACATAACAAACATCGAAAGATTAGGTCACTAGGATGCAGAATAAAATTAAAAACATCAATTAACTACGATTTTATGAAAGAAACTACTTTGTATGTAGTTTTTATGATACGAGTAGCTAAATAATACATTTCATAAAAGAGACCAGAGCTAGTGTATAAATTTAAGCTAGACTTTATAATATTTCTACTTGTATTACTAATATTTATTTTCCAACTCTGGTGCACACTAAACATTCAAATTAGTTTATAGTCGTCAGCCATTGAAATTACATGCGTTTAAAGATCACTTATTTTGCAATACTATAATTGTGTAATGCAAACCGTTTTGAAGTGGAGAAACACAAGTACATTCAAATGGCATTTGGGTATGAAACTTGAGGGAAGATAACAAACAACATAGCAAAAATAAAGTAGGACTCACTTTATCCCAAGCGATCTGATTTGATGAGAACAGACAGAAAAACGTGCTCAAATAGTAATTAGCAATGTTTGTTTCTCGTGTCGATCGTTTTTTTGTTCTTCGTATGTTCGAAATACAAAAGAAAACAAAGATGAAGAAGCAAATGTCTCACGTCAGGCTTACCTTGGATATAACGTGCGGATCTATAGCTAATATCGCAATAAACGGACAATTGGCATCGGAGAAGAGCATGTGAACGGCGTCGAGAACGAGCAGTACCTTATCCTGCTCGGAACTATCCAATCCATCCACGATGATCACGAGTCGCGTCTGCTGAGCACTAAGACTGTCCAGACACTTCACCATGTCTTTCATAAGATTCACCTAAAATTAAAATTTATAAACTTTGGATTAAGAATGTGGACTTTTAGATTGGTACCTCTGATCGAAGGGCTTGGAGGAAACCTTCGGATTTAAGCGTATCCAGTTTGGCGATGGTGCGCTGCAAGTGTCGTCTCTGCGAAAAGATCAACGATCCGAACATTTTGCTCCACGTATACAAGTTGGCAATTGCCGCCGTTCCCAAGAAGAAGGCCGCTATTATTAGGATTACTTGAAGGGTCATCTTTTCCACAACCTCGCTGAAAAAGCAACAACAAATCAAATGAATCATAACGTAGAGTTTAAAAGAACTTCATAGCTTACTTTGCTTCAAGTGTATTCACTTGTAGGATATATACAGTCAAGGCACAAACACCGATTAAAAAAAATATGAATATTATCTCAAAAACAAGCACGTAGGGTAAACAGCAGACTTTCCTCCATTTCCACGAAGATGAAGATTTCACTAGAATTGTAATGATGTAACGGATTGTTTTACATGGCGTTAGATTGTACCTGGTTTTGGTTTGAATGCTCTGTAGAGTCTGGTGACGACGGCGCCGTAATCGGATTCGATAGCGTCGTATAAAGAGCCTATCATCTGCACAACAGAGTTTTCACCTCCTGTTGTGCTGCTCACTCGGATTTGATCGGTGAAGTAGAATCTGATTGGTTGAGCAGAGAGGGTGTCGTGAGTGGGTGCGCCCGGAGGATGGCAGAACATAATCTGCAGGATGAGCTTCAGGTTGTTCATCTTCATCGTGAGCTTCGTGTTGAAGTTGTACGGCCAATCCCAGTCATATCTGAACAACGAATCTATATTATCTCTGCACGTTATTCTTGTAGGTATATTCTATATCACACCTTTTACTGGCAAACCATACAAGGGCTAAGAAAATGTAGGAGACAACGAGCACGGCAAGCCCAACGGAAAGACCCAGTATCCAATTGTATGCGGATAAACCGACGATGGTACCAATTAGCATTGATATATGCATGAGGATGATGAATAGGAGAGGAGTGAATTGGAATACAGGGTCTATCCACTGTCTGGCGAAGTTCTTCATTTCGTCGCGCACTTTGTTTAGAATGAATGATTTGCCGCTGCCCCATTTCGCGTAAAGACCCACGGTGATAGGCATGGAAAGCGACGGCTCACTAAGTACATCTGCCAATGCTGAACTGTAGAGATCATAACCCAACATGTTCTCATTATCCTCATTCGTGTTTAATCTCCCTGCAAAAATATATCACGTAAAAATTGGTAATGGATATTTATGGATGTTGGACTTACTTGCTCCAAATATTTGCCCCAAAATGGTCTTCTGATGGTTCAGATCAATGTTATACGGCGTTTCGCCCGCTCGATTTGGTCTGTAGAGAAGGTGGCTGTGCTTGGGATTTCTGAGCAAGATCTCGACGATAGCCTTGGAACGGGCACGCATTGCTATATGCAAAGCGGTGTCTCCTTTCTTATCGGCCGCGCCCACTTTTGCTTTTTTGTCCAATAGCAACTGGACAATATCGGCGTTCCGCGATCGCACTGCTTTTAATAGGGGTGTGTCTCCGTCCTTGGTAGGAATCTCAAGATCTGGGTTTGAGCTTAAGAGCATCTTCACGATTGCCACGTATCCTTTTTCCACTGCCATGTAGGAGGCCGTTTTCCTATCTTTACCACTAACATCGACGTCAGCGTACTTCTTCAGGAGCGCCTCCACCACCGACCTGTGACCTCCTTTTACCGCGTGGATTAAGTTCGTGTCTCCGGTTCGATCCTGCATTAAATTAGATTTAAGTATAAAACTATTATCCGATGGATTTGTTATATTACTTGTATGTTGATGTAAGCTCCGGCATTCATTAAGGATGTGGCTATCTCGTAAAAGCCTTCTTTGCAGGCGATTGTCAGAGCGCTGCACCCATCCTTGTCCAGGGCGTTAACGTTCGGTCTGTACTCCAACAGCAAGTTTACTATATCCTCATGGTTGCCCTGGGTTGCTACCAGCAATGAAGTCCATGAGTACATCCCAGCCGTATCCGCATTGGCACCTGTCACAGAAAGTATGTAATCAGCATCCAATTTGCAATTTTTACAGGATCACAATTACCTGCTAATAAGAGACTCTTCACTATATCTGTGTGACCTTTTCGCGAGGCCCAGATAAGAGCAGTGGTTCCGTACTTATCACCCCAATTCACCTTAGCCCCATGCTTCAGTAACTCATCGACAATTTCCGTATGTCCTCGGCCTGCTGCCCACAGCAAACTGGATATGTGGTAGTTTCCATGGGCGTTAACATCAGCTTTGTACTCTAATAATACTTTGACAACCTCTGTCCTTCCTTTGTACGTGGCCCACATCAATGGGGTCCATCCTCCCATATCCCGATGCTCGATTTCTGCGTGCTGCTCGATCAGCTGTAGACAAATATCCACGTAACCTTCTTTGGAAGCGCACAAAAGGGCCGACCAATTATCGGAGTCCTCCGCGTTAGGATCTGCCCCGTGCGCCAAGAGCTCCCGCACGAAGCTGGACTTGCCCTTGGAGGCGGCGAGAATAAGAGCCGTTCCACCATTCTGTGAAAGCAACAATCTTCAAGTACATGCACTACTTTTATGTCTGCATTAATTACCTCATCCCTATCATCGACGATGGTGTCTTTGCTTTCGAGGAACTGCTGCAGCCCCTGCAGATTGTTCTCGTTGATGAACGTGGAGAGTGATCGAAAACATAGCGAAACCATGGAGTCCGTCCGGTGCAGCGTCTATAAAAATTACATCAAACCGTTCTTAAGATTGCATCAAACAAAAAGCAAAAGGTAATCGATTAATAACTCCATGATGATGATGATGAAGTAATCGACCATTTTTTTTTAGCAGACTACGAACTTTCATTCAGGTTAAATAACGCTGATGCGCGCAACAAACAACGGGTTACGTAACAAACATAACAATATGATTGCTTTCGTTTCCGATTCGATTATGTATTAGTATACTAAGTTATAAACTACTACTTGGGATTCGGGCAGCAAACAATTAGAAAACAGTCAGGTTTTTGGGTAGAACGTGCAGAAAACGTTCAAACACTTACTCAAATTAATTTACAACTATTTAATCGCATGTACACGCTTATTATGCTGTAACAAGAAAATGATGCAGCGTCGTCGACACCTTCGTCGTTATCTGTGCGCATTAGATCCGAATTCGCACCCAGGTATTAAGGCTTTATCTAAATTAATTGTGAGGTCGAGCGAGATGAAAAACAGAAATGCCCATCCATTCGCGTGTACGGTGAATTTTTGTTGGTTCGTCTTTCGTCGTTCCCTGTCGCGCGCAGACAATGCCAAAAACGTATTCCGATGGCATATAATGTGCATAAACATTTTTAGAGCAAAATGCAGTCTGGCATTAGATGCTCTCATCGTAGACGGACGAATCAATCCAAAGCCTAAAAACAAACATTCGACGATTCACCTTGAGACGGATTATCGGGGTTGATCCTAATTAAAGACGCCGTTGATCGCAGATAAAGAAGATGAATCTTACTATAAATATAGCGATCGGATTCTTCTACCACTTTGCAAAAGAATATAGGTCTTGGAATATAATTAGAGTGTTGTCGAAAAACATCATGGATCTTCTTTGAAAGAGCCAGGTTTGATTTGCAATGTCTCACTATTTCCAGTAGAAAATTTCATCCCAAATTGGTTATGGAAATTCGTCAGTGGACAATAACATCCAAGTAAAACATTTCAGTAAATTTTCTCTTAATATTTTAAAGTCAATTACTTACAATTGATATTGAAAAGTCTACAATTTTTCAGTAGATTCTTCTAAATATTTCAATTGAAACTAAAAAAATAAAATATATTTTCATCCGAAATAAAGTATTTCAATTCGATCTTTGGCATACAGCATATTTTCATCCACATAAAAGTTCCATAGGTCAGTCTTCCACTGCTCTCTGTTGTTCCACTTGAAAATTGTTGAGATTGAAATATTCACGTATTCTTTTATAAACAGAGAATTCTTTACTTTCCATTAATAATTTTTATCTTTCATTCGAAATAAAATATGTTTGATGTTCGACGTAAAAAGTCTTCAGTCTGCATGGAGTATTTTCATCCGGAGCCTCCGGGGTCGTCGATTTATAAATACTTCCGAGTTCATTGCCTCTTCACATTTTCGCACGTGAAACTCGTATTTCTTCATTGATTATCCTAAAGATTCGAGGCATCAAACCATAGTTTTATAATTACTCAAAATATTGATTTAATCATTAAAATGAAATAATTGAAACACATTTTTTTATAAAAATTTGAAGTCATAATTCATAATTTCACTTACTATTTTGATAAAAAAATCTTTCAAAAATTAAGAAAAAATTCGATAATTATATAAAATTTCTGTAATATTTACTTTACATGAAATTGACATTAAGGAGAAAGAATAAGAATTATCTAAAAACCTCTTATCTACATTTTCAACTCAATTACCTTCAAAATTGAGTTGAAAATGTGGGTGACCTTTAGGAAAATTTAGAAAGAAGCATTGACGAAAATAACAAACGTATAAATTTTGAAGGTAAAATAGATTACAGAAAACAAAATAATTTGAGTAAGAATTCCTCAACAAATTGAAGATTGAAGATAGAAAACCTAGTACTGTCACTTGTAGAACACCTTACAAAAATCATAAATTCAATTTTCAAACAAATCGTAGAAAGTTTAAAAGTTACTTGACGACTGATATAAATAACACTGTAATTGTACCTTTTCCAAAAAACTTCTATTAATATATAATAACCTTATCCTAGACAGTTTTCACTAAATTTTATCTTTTTCCATAAACCTTTCACTCAATTTGTCATTGTGTACAATTAGAAATAATTTAAAGTAAAAGTTCATAATAACATGTTTTTTTCAGTAATTTAAGTGCATTCCATTCATTGTATATACAAGGTAGTAAAACTGTTAATCAAACTCATCGAAAAATCTTGTTAGACTAGTGTTGATCTACTGTAAATTCAGGCAAGAGAAAAACAACATCGAAAACTTGGTTTTGGGTGGATTGTTAGAACGGGTTTGGCCTATATAAAGTGTCTATGTAGGTCGGTTGCAGAGGGGTTGCGTGTGATTCGAGGCTAAAACTAACGTTGTGCGAGTGCCGTCGTATGCCGAGCCCTGTGAAATTGAACCAGGGCGACTGCTGCCCTTCGGGCGAAGTGAGGGTGAAGGTTGGCAGATGGAGATGGGTCAAGGATCCACGCCACGCGCCTGCCTCGGGAATGTGCAGATGCAGGAAGGACGACCTTCGCCGTCCCGTAGGCGTCGCCGTTGCCGTGGATATGCTGTGTCTGGTCGTCTTTTTGTGGTTGCTCCCGTCTGGTTCACTGTTCGATCCGTTCTCCATTTCCGCTTCTGGTTTCAATTTTATTTACACATTTCAACAATTTCCTTTTGCAGATTTATATACTTTACAATACAGTTTTAATACGGATAACCTAAGGGTTAGTGGAAGAGAAACATATCCTTGTCAATTCTTATTTCACCATGACAACGGCTGTCATGAAAATACCCAATAGCAGATCCTGTTCGCCTTGAACTATAAATTATAGTCTAAAAGGATTACAGTCTGTAAGGATTCTATAATTTATAGAATCCTTACAATCTTAAATCAAGTAATTGTTAAGTAGCATTCATTCCCCTTACATTCTGTTTCACGTTACTTGGCAAGTGTCACGTAACTTTAAATAAATTCAATTTTCAACTTGATTGAAAAAAAAAATGTAAATTTCTATATTATGCAACCAAATTTACAATTATCTACAAATTAAATTAATGTTAATTTCTAACAGTTTCATTCATTAAATTGCTGAACACAGCAGATACATGATGTCATGTAATTAGAGCTATTGTACTTACGCATGTTTCTTTTTACCTTGCAAATTAATTTACAATTTTCTCAAATTATAAAAGTTTTGAAACAATTTCAATTTTAAAAATTAGGATATAAATTCATATTACATGAGTAGTTTCAACACTTGAAACAAAATTGTATGAAGTAATCGAAAAAAACCTTAATCACAATGAACGAACGAATATCAAAAACAAAATTGAGTCAGAATGAGACACAAACAAAAAAAAAAGTATGTGTAAATTAAGACATGAGCTAGATAAGATTTCATCGCGAAATCTTTGAAAAGAAAACTCACGTTTCCTTGATAATCGAATTCGATAATAATCGATGATTTATTTCGCAATTCATTCAACATTTCACCATAATACAAAAATATAGCAGTTATATAATTAAAGTAAATTGTTTTCCATTTAAATTCCATTGTTTTCACTGTCAACTGTATACAAAAAAAAGATTTTTTTTTTGTTGAAAATAATTAAAATTTAATTACTATGAGTGAGACCATTATGCATATAGAAACGAATCTAAATATTTACACATTTTAATGAATATTTCAGCGCAAATTCATTTATTCTGCTAATTTACACGTTAGATTTTTTTT